GAGTTTGAAGGCACCCCTAAAGAGAAGGCTTTCTTTTTGTAAGTTGCTATTATCATTATTATTATCATCCATGAAGATTCCTATGGCATTTTGCTCTCAACCAACTGTTAAAGAAAAGTCATCCTCCCCTTGTGTGTATGTGTGTGTATGTGTGTGTGTGTGTGTATGTGTGTGTGTGTTAGTCACTCAGTCATGTCCAACTCTTTCCAACCCCATGGACTGTAGCCCACCAGGCTTCTCTGTCCATGGAATTCTCCAGGCAAGAATACTAAAGTGGGTAGCCATCCCCTTCTCCAGGGGATTTTCCTGACCCAGGGATCAAATCCAGGTCTCCTGCATTGCAGACAGGTTCTTTACCACCTGAACCACTAGGGAAGAAGACTCCTATGGCATTTTGCTCGTAACCAACTGTGAAAGATAAGGAAAAAGTCATCCTCCCCTTTAAGTAATAACTAGTAATGCCTTCTCGGGCAGTAATCTTCCTAATAGCTATTTGCATTTTAATAAAAGAGCAGTCACACTTAATGACCATAAAAAGTAATCTCTAGTGATAAAGTTTCTGTCACCATTCTGACTAATGGAAAAAATACTAAGGAAAAATGAAGAGGTATTTCTGGTGCCCTTTGGATCACCTTATTATTTGTTTTGGTTTTTTAACATAAGTGAATCTTTTCACGACCCAAGTGTAGACAAAGACATTTTTTTACATTTATTCTGATTTTTTTTTTTCTTTTTTTTGCTGCATATCTTGTAGTATTTTAGATCCTCAACCAGGGATTGAATGACCCTGAGCCCTCAGCAGTGAGAGTGTGAAGTCCTAAACCCTGGGCCGCCAGGGAAACAGGCCTGTAGAGATACCAGAGAAATGTGAACGAACGTTGAGTTCCCGGAAATCGCTACTACATCATAATTTAGGAAGTCCTAGCTCTGCCGGGGCCACTCAAGTCTCCCAGATGCCACTTTGAAATCACAGCAACAGACGCTGGCCGTGTGTTTAAGATAGAAAATGGAGAGCTTGCAAAGTAATAGATTTCCCCATTCTACACAGCAGCCTCTTTTTAATTCATCATGGTCTTGTAGCAAGATTATACAATCTGGAAATGAATAGGCAAGGATGGAGATGATGTTGGAGTTGGTATTTCTTTAATGATTTAGGGATTATTGGTCATTTAGTTTCGACTATTTGTAATTGAAGTCTTGAAATAATGGAATTTATTAGGGGACTGCTTCATTCACCCTTGTATAATGTGAACAGACTGAAATTGCACATGTGAACTCATAAATCGTTTGTGTGTGCAAAGGGGCGATCCATCATTTCACCCCTCATTCACTCGGTGCTGGGGAAGGAGGGGCAGGGAAGTATGAGTTATAGCTTACTAGGCAAAATCCCATACCTTCACGTCTTACATTTCCAGGAGGCTCCTTTTATGTAACCTTCGTATTATTTATACCTTCTGGTCATTCATGATAAAAAGTACTTTTATCATGAGTTTTTTTTCCTTTATCAAGGTTTTTTTTTATTATTTATTTATCAAACACTCACAAATGTTTTTGACAAAGTCACTTTCAGGCAGTCAAACAGATCGTTGTCCCAAGCTTAGAGCAGTGGGCCTTGTCTACATAAACTGTGTTGAATTAGACACATGGTCTCTAATATACCAACCAGAAAATGATAAATGTGTTAAAAATCAAATTAAATTGTTTCTTTGTGGGGCAGTTTTATTTTAAAGTAAGGACAGGATAACTTTCACTTTCTTATTAAAGCTGTAGCAAGAAATTCAGCTATTATTTTTAACCACTGCAAAGTGCAGACATGTATTACAAAACATCTGTTTTAAACATCCGTTTTAAAACATCCATTGTCCAGAACTAATTCAGCCTTTGGCTAGTAAAATAGTTTCTTATTCCAAGTCTAAATTTGTATGCTGATTGAAACCTCAATCCACTAGGAATAGTACTAAACATAGGTGAGCCCTGAATCAAAGAATATCTATCTTAAGGGAATATTTGTAAAATATCACAATGCTATATGAATATGAAAAATGATCTCTTTATACAGTTTATATTTAGGGTTCATTTCATTGTTTAACTTTTCCATTTTATTTTCAAGATCTTCTAGGTCCTTGCTACTCAGAATGAAATATTAACATATTTTGAGAGCTTGCTGGAAATGCAGGTTCTGTGATGCCATCCTATCCCACCACCCCCACTCTAGAATCAGAGACTGAATTTTCACAAGATCCCTCCATGATATGTATACACACTAAAGTTTAAGAAACCCTGCTCTAGATGGTTGTTGGATGGTATGTGACATTTTGAAGGAGACAAGAATCATTAGTGAATCTGAACAGGTTACTTCAGAGGCAAAATAACAATAAAATGACATTAACTAATATTTTTGAGCATTTAATGTATTCTAGGCATCATATTTTGATCCCTGGGTCAGGAAGATCCCCTGGAGAAGGGCACAGCAACCCACTTCAGTATTCTTGCCTGAAGAATCCCATGGTCAGGGGAACCTGGCGGCCTACAGTCCATGGGGTCGCTAAGAGTTGGACATGACTGAAGTGATTTAGCACAGCACAGGAATCATATTAGCTTGATGCTTTTTCCATGCATTATCTCCTTTGGGCAGCAGGAAATAGAAGACTATTTCTCTGATGATGGAGAAATAATTGGGTAAATGGAGAAATTCAGGAATATCCTAAGTAGGAAATGGCAACTTAGAGAAAAGGGCATAGTCTAGTGGAAGCATTCAGAATAAGAATAAATATAGTTTACTTATGTGAGAAATGTAGACAAAGCAGAGATAGTGGAGACAGGAATATCTTCCAAATGACCAGAAAAAAAAAGGTTACACTAATGTATTCTGCTGAGCCAAGAAGAGCTATTTTTGGAAGTGACATAGCTAATACGCTGAGTTTCACTTGTCTTCTCACTTTAGAACAAAGGTTAAAAGATTCTGTTGCATGTTTACTGTGTATGTAAATGTACACATAAATAATATAAATGTACGTTACTTTATGTGAAACCAAGTCTTTTTTGGTGGGTAATTCTTATAACCTTAATGTTGGCAGAGAAGTGTGTCATTTTTAATGTATAATCATGAGGATTAATTTTTTTAAGGAACAAGCTTAAATGTAAGAGCCAGTGGAGGACAATATAAGTATATTTGGGGGTTGAGAAGAAACTGGTTTCTAATCTTGTTCCTGACCTGATACTCACCATAATAACTGATAAACCAAACTAGTTGGCTAATTAGTCTACTAACAGGATTAGTGTTACTGGTATGTCTCACAAACAAACAAACAAAAATTTTTTTAGTACCCAAAACTTAGTCTTAAGTGACGAGCTTTCTGAAATATCAGCTCTCTGGGAGAGTTGATAATGCTTCTATTTGCATTAGTGTTTTTTTTTTTACTTTCTTTCCTTCTTCTTTTTTTTTTTTTTTTGGCTGCACCCCATTAGGCATGTGAGATCTTAGTTCCCCAACCACAGATCTAACCTACACCTCCTGCCTTGGAAGCACAGAATCTTAAGTGCCAGGGAAGTCCTTCAGTTTTTAGGAGGTTTTTAAGGGGTCAGACTAATCTTATCCTAGTAGGAAGAATTTTCATAAATTTATAGGAGACACTAAATGATTCACACCATTAGAAACCATTACTATTAATGTAATTCTACTTCTCTGAAAAGTGAAGTCACTCAGTTGTGTCCGACTCTTTGCGACCCCGTGGACTGTAGCCTACCAGGCTCCTTGGTCCATGGAATTTTCTAGGCAAGAGTACTGGAGTGGGTTGCCGTTAAGTAAATATAAAACAGCAAGTTACCTGGGTAGTAATATTGTAGATGAGAAATTATATTCATCGTATAATGCTGTATAAGAAATTACCCCAAAGTTTAGCAGCTTGAAATAACAAGACAGTGGGTTAGAAATCCATGTATGGCTTAGGTGTCTGTGGCTGAGGACCCGGGGTGCTGATCAAACTGTCCACTGGGCTGTGGTCTCATCTAAAGGCCCTACTGAAAAAAATAAAAAAATAAAAAAAAAATAAAGGCCCTACTGAAGGCAGTCCAGTCACATGTTACTAGCCAACTTCAGTTCCTCCTCACCTAAGACTTGCCACAGAGCAGCCTATGACATGGCTTCCAGCTTCCTACAGGGCAAGCAACCCAAAAGAGCTCAAGAGACAGGAAAATAAAAGCGTGTCCAAGATGGAAGTCAGGGCCTTTTTATAACCTAGTCTTAGAAGTTACCTTCCATCACTTCGGCCACGAGCCATTAACTAGAAGCAAGTCTCTAAGTCCTGTCCATTATAAAGGGAGAGGGTTACACACATAGTGTGAATATCAGGAGGTGGGGATCCCTGGGACCCGACCACAATCCGTTTCTTCTTCCGTCTTGCTTTCTTATTGTCTAACACATCAGTTTCCCAAGGAGTACATGTTACTGGGGTAATAAAGAAATAAAATGGTTAAAGGCAATACAACTTAAAGTATTGATCAGAAATATTGATCAGAAAAGTCACTGCTCCTTGGACCTTTCTTAGTAAGTCAAGATTTATTAATGACCTTCCTGGCCACATATTAGATCATGTCATGGCTTCCCTGGTGGTTCAGATGGTAAAGAATTTGCCTGCAATGCAGGAGACATAAGCGACACGGGTTCAGTTCCTGGGTCAGAAAGATCCCCTGGAGCAGGACATGGCAACTCACTCCAGTATTTTTGCCTGGACAGTCTCATGGACAGAGGAGCCTGGCGAGCTACAGTCCATGGGGTTGCAAAGAGTCAGACATGACTGAGTGACTAACACTTTCACTTTTCACTTTTTCAGGAATCTGAGTCTGATGTTAATAATCTAACAGGACTTTGTTTTGGCTTTCAAATTTTTTGCACTGAAAAATTGAAAGAGCAAGCCCCTCCCCGTTCCCTGGGCGGAAGTATGAACGAGTCTGTCTTTCTCAGTTGCCTAACAGGCTCCTTCTTGCTCTGTCCTCAACAGTATGCTTGAGAGCTCCAACCGGCTTGATGAAGAGCACCGGCTGATCGCCAGATACGCGGCCAGACTGGCGGCAGAGTCCACTTCGTCTGTAAGTAGTCTGCGTGCGAGATGTCACATCGACCGTGGTCCTGTTGCTGGTGCCACAACAGCAAAGCCAAGTGGTTGCTAGTGAGCCATCTGCGAGACCTAAAAACAATCCGGCTTCTGCTGCTTCCATTTTTTACTTTTCAGCGATCATTCTGGTCTAGCGTGAATCAGAGCTTGAGGAATTCTGGGACAACAGTGCTGAATCAGCCCAACTCCTGATTTCTCTGGATAATGTCTAATCAATAAATACAAAGAGCAAGCGATGACTCAAATCCACAAGCTGCTTCCATTTTTTACTTTTCAGCAATCATTCTGGTCTAGCGTGAATCAGAGCTTGAGGAATTCTGGGACAACAGTGCTGAATCAGCCCAACTCCTGATTTCTCTGGATAATGTCTAATCAATAAATACAAAGAGCAAGCGATGACTCAAATCCACAACTGGCTAAGATAAATTCCTGCTTTTATCAGTATGGAAGTGATGCAGTGGTAAAGAACCCACCTGCCAATGCAGGAGATATAGGAGACATGGGTTTCAATCCCTGGGTTAGGAAGATCTCCTGGAGTAGGAAATGGCACCCCACTCCAGTATTCTTGCCTGGGAAATTCCATGGACAGAGGAACTTGGTGGACTACAGTCCACAGGGTCGCAGAGAGTTGACCACAACAAGCAACTGAGAAGGAAATGGCAACCCACTCCAGTATTCTTGCCTGGAGAATCCCAGGGAAAAGGAGCCTGGTGGGCTGCCATCTATGGGGTTGCACAGAGTCGGACACGACTGAAGCAACTTAGCAGCAGCAGCAGCAAGGAACTGAGCACAGAACCAAAATACATACAAAATATGTACAAGAAAGAGAAAAAGATGTCATAAAATTAAAAAATAAAACCTTCATCACATGTCAAAGGTGCCAAAGGCCAGACTTAGCTATAGAAGACCATTTAGAATGTAAAATATAGGACCTCACAATTCTTCAATAGCAATACAAATTGTATCTTTGTTAAAAGAAATGCTAAATTAAAAAGCAATAGAAAAACTTTATGAAAGCCAGAGCTTCACCAAGTTTAAACCTTTCCCTACAGTTAGTTTTCTGGAATTAAAATTCAGGCAGCATTTCTCCATGTCTTTGGGCTTAGACAATGGGTGCTATTTTTTTAAAGCTTGACATTCTGTGGTAGAAAGATTAGTTTTTAATTTTTTTTAATTTGCTTTAAAAATAATTAAAAATTGGGGGCAATTTTTATAATGTAGAGCAAAGAAAGCACAGAGAAATCTACATAATCTGACCCTGTTATTTATTTTTGATTGTGCTGGGTCTTCATCGCTGTTCCATGCAGGCTTTCTCTAGTTGCAGTGCGCAGGCTTCTCATTGCAATGGCTTCTTTTTTGTGTGTGGAGCCTGGGCTGTAGGGCGTGTGGGCTTCAGTAGTTGTGGTGCATGGGCTTAGTTGCCCTCTGGCATGTGGAATCTTCCCAAATAGGAATTGAATCTGTGTTCTCTGCATTGGCAGGCAAATTCTTAACCACTGGACCACAAGGGAAGTCCTGACCCTTTTTCTACAAAACAATATCAAATAATCGCTTCACTAAATACACATACATATATATGCACAGCATCCCCGGTAGCTCAGCTGGTTAAGAATTTGCCTGCAATGCAGGAGACCCTGGTTCAATTCTTGGTCAGGAAGATCCCCTGGAGAAGGGAACAGCTACCCACTCCGGTATTTTGGGCTGGAGAATTCCATGGACTGTATAGTCCATGGGGTCACTAAGAGTAGGACATGACTGAGCAGCTTTCACTTTCACTTTAAAACTATGCATTTTTTAAATTATATATTACAGTGGTTGAACAGTAATTCTAGAGAAAGATACCTCAGCACTAATTCATTTACTGAAGTGGATAGTCATTCCCTTCTCCAGGGGATCTTCCTGACCAAAGGATCGAAATCAGGTCTCCAGCATTGCAGGTAGATTCTGTTACCATCTGAGCCATCAGGAAAGCCCTTTATTGGGAAAAAAAAAAAAAAATAGCTGCAATGGGAAGAGCATGGCAAGAATGAACTCGATCCCCAAAATCAGGAATTTGGAACCAGTTTTCTGTCCCACATTTTGTGTATTTGCCTGCGAAAGAATTCTCTTCTGCTTTCCATCCCGTAAATGTGCTCCAGACCTCCCCAAAATCTGGTCCTTAGGAGAGGAATGGCCGTTTAATTTTACGTGTTTTGCTTTTTTTGTTTTGATAAAAATGGTTGTCTTTTTCATGTGCATATCTCATGACTCCTGTCTTTTCAAACACACATAGATTCCCCTGCCTGATACTAAATAGTGTAAACCACATATTTTACAGCAGCCAACTCAGCAGAGGAGCGCCCCTGACATCTCCTTCACCATTGATGCAAATAAGCAACAAAGGCAGCTGATCGCAGAACTAGAAAACAAGAACAGGTAAGACTTTTTGGACAGACTGGCTTTTATGATCAAAGTACACGTTCATTAATAACCTATAGTCGTGCTTTTAACTGTCCAGGTTTTTTTCACCCGGTAGGCATATAAATATAAGGGAAGTCATCTAGAGTCAGTGATCCTGCTTCTGAAAAACGAATCTTTAAATTTTACATCATCAGAAACTTCATGAGGGAAAAAAAACCAAATATATATATATATATATATTCTGAGATGTCAATACAATTAATGTAATGTCCCCAGATAATATCATTTCCCTTTTTCTGAGATACTTATTTTTGTTAAGGAGCTGTCTAAAGCAGAAGGGCCTCCCTGAATGCTAAAGACTAAGTATCTTAACCACCCAGAGACAAGTAGAAGCCTCACCAGGGAGGGCCCTGTGAGGCTCGCAGGCTAAAGAGGCATCTAGGGACACCACCATCACCCATTCGTTCAAGCCAAACATCATGCCCCATCCATCAGGAGGTTTTCCTCTTTATTCAACACAGACTGACTCACCGTCTGCCCCGTGACAGCTCCCCAAAACCAGGCACTTCATCTCCTCCATCCCCACTCAAGGCAACCTGTCATTTTATAAAACATAAATCATATCATGTTATTTCTTGTTGGAAACCTCTGGTGACTTTTCCATTACACTGTGGATAAAACCCACCCCTCTGACCGCAGTCTGCAAGTCCAACCTGACCTGATTCCTGCCTCCCTTTCCAGCCACTGCCCACCTTACTCGTTACACTCCTGCTTCTTTCTTTCTTTACAGCCTTTCAAGTACTGGCTGTTCTCCTAGCTCTCAGAGCTCTTCCTCAGGGTCTCTGCAGAGATGGCTCTCCCTCACTGCTCAGGTCTCAGCTCAAACGGCATCTCCTATAAGACCACCTGTCTAATACCTCCTACTTCAGGAACCACTCTCTATTACATCCCTGTGTGTGTGTGTGCACACATACATATGCATGCACATGCATGCACGCCTATCTCTCTCTGAAAAAAAATTGCATTCAAGTGTCTGTTTCCTTCTTATTCTCTGTCTTGTCTGATAGATACGGAATTTCTTTGAGAACTGAGTCCATGACAAATGGCCCCTGGGTTCCAGAACCTTGCCTGGTACACTGAAGCACTGTAGAAGCTCAGTAAATATATACTGAGTGAGAAAGTAATAAATTGCTGACTCAAATCTTAAACTCAGTGCTGAGTAAGCTTCACATAAAAACAACTTGTGCCTTCTGTATTTCTCAGAACAGCAGCAAAATGTCTTAATATTTAACCTCATCTTTAAACACTGATGTGCCTTCTGAGATCAAACTGGTAAAGGAGAAGGTTGTGATCATTGTTACATGCCGGTAGAGTCTGACCTGAAAATCTTGGGATAAATGGTCAAGCTATTCTTTGAAGTTCTACAGAAAGAAGTTAAAAGGAAGGTAAAAATTCAGGACATTTTCATATTCTTGGAAAAAAAAGATTAAAGTGAAAAATTTATAAGCACACAAATAGCTTATCTTGGTTGCAATTTCGATCTACTCTCCTACCTTTCCAAAGCATTATTCTCCCTACCAGTTCTCTGCTCCCACTCAGCATGGAGATAGCATTCGTGTGTGCTAAGTTGCCTCAGAACTGAATGACTCTGCAACCCTGTGGACTGTAGGCTCCTCTGTCCATGGGATTCTCCAGGCAAGAATACTGGAGCAGGTTGCCATTTCCTCCTCCGGGGGATCTTCCGACCCAGGGACAAACCCGAGTCTGTCCTGCCTTGGCAGGTGGGTTCTTTACCACTAGAGTCAGCTGGGAAGAGACTCGGGGAAATCGGACCTTCCTTTAAGGAAATAACCCAGGGGTGTGCACCTCCACGCGGGATTCCAGAACCAGCAAGAGGCCCATGCGTGTGCTGGCTGTGCCATGCTATTTCTCCTGCTGAGTTCCAGGGCATTTGGGGATTGCACTTTCTGAGAGAGAGAACAGAGGAATGGGAGTGAGAAAAGATGGCAGGAAGAGAGCTTCATCCTGTCCCTGAGTTCTTCCCCCACCCCGTGCCTAAAGAGCATCTAGTCCATCCCAAACTCATCTCTCTAAACCAGTGGCCTCAATCCCACAGATGACTCTAGAACCGTGTCCCAGAAGCTTATCCAGGTCACAGTTCCTCTACCATGGAAATCACCCAGGGATCCCATGGTCTCCAAAGAGACAGTTAACCCAGTAATCAGATCTCTGGGCGTCAAGGGAGGACAGAATTGCTCACTTGACTTCGTGGCTACCCTAGGTAGTTCATGGATGTTTCAGCAGTGATCTTTAGAAAATAATGCTTCCTTAGAGCATACTTAGAGGAGCCAGTTGGAATTAGTATTAGGAGTAGCAAGACTCTTCAAATTACATTGTCTAAGTCACAGCCTGCCTAGGCTACACCTGTCGGACCAAATAGTGGAGACTAAAGGAGTCTGATATATATGAGCTTTGGGGCACACCAACCTGAGTTCAAATGACCACCACCACCTAGATATTGAACTTGGGTAAGACTTGTAACTAGTCTATGCTTCGATTCCCTCATTCATGAAACAGATAATAGCAGTCCCTCTATACAGTAGAACTGTTAGGAGGAATAAATAAGACTAAAGAAGACAATGACTACGTAGTGACTGAGCACACACGCAAACAAGATGACGACGCAGTTCCCAGGTATAGTCTAAGCACTTCATGCTCCTTGCCTATCTTATCATTATTTTTTTCTGCTAGAGCTGCTTCTCTATTTTCCTTCTCTGGGGCAAAATGGTTCTGTTATGGTTCTGTCCTCAGAATCAACAAGGAGAACTAATGGAAGTCACAGAATGTCAGGAGGTTAGCCCTGAGGAGCTTGGAAATCTCAGTTCACTGATTTTCAGGCTGAGCTCTCTGGGACCCCAGGGGTCCCTGTAGGGGTGCATGAAGAGGAAGGAGGGGCATCCCAAGTGGCGCTGGTGGTAAAGAACCCACCTGCCAAGCAAGAGTCGAAAGAGATGCCAGTTTGATCCCTGGCTGGGGAAGATCCCCTGGAGGAGGGCATGGCCACCACTCCAATCTTTTTGCCTGGAGAATCCCATAAACAGAGGAGCCTGGCAGGCCACAGTCCATAGGATAACGCAGAGTCAGACACAGCTGAAGCAACTGCATGCACAAAGAGCAAGGTGGAAGGGCCAGTAATACAGGGCACTCCCCTTCTTTAACCAGAGAAGTTTCTTCTTAGCTGTCTGATACGTTGGTTTCCATGGAAGATTCCTTTTAAAGAAAAACTTCCACCTTGAAACACCAAGGGGGAGCAAAAAAAAAAAGTTGAAAACCACTGAATTGTGGTCCATACCCACGAGAGGGACAGTGACTGACTCGTTATTAGCTTCTTGATGCTGGCATGTTTGTGGAGCAGGAGACTGTAAATCAGCCTTTCAGATGGAAAGTCACCCAGCCCCCTTGCTCACCAAGTTCATCTTCCATTCTCATTCTTGGTGCTTTGTTCTGTCTTACTGTCTCTTCTGCGTTTTCCTGGATGGGAGGCTGACCCCTCCCCCAAGAATCCATGACTTGTAACCTTGTCTAACAGCGTCTGACTCACTTAGGGATAATTTGCTTTGCGCCGGTCACCTATCCTTTATGGCTGGCCTAACGTTCACCTCAATGCAGGGCAGCCCAGGCCCCAACATTAATAATAGACGGACACGTCTCACCCCTGACTTGAGGTCACACCAATAGCACTCTTAGGTCACTGACTCAATTACGATGAATCCTTTTAAAGGCACTTTCCTTCTTAAGGCTACCCTCGTTGAGATCCATTGTTAAGGTTGAAAATGTTAAGAAAAGAGAAAGAATTTTGCCTAACTGGGGGCTTTTCAGATAAATTCAGTGAGAAGAATTTCATTCCTGGTGTGAGAATGGGGTTATTTAGTTTCATAAAATGAATGCCATTTATCCTTATTTTCCTTCCAAGCATCTCTTACTTGGTATCTGCAGGTAGTTTAAGGTGTCAGACTGAGATCATAAATAAGAGGAAGATTCATTTTCATCTCTTAAGCAGTGCGCTTTGCAAAGTTGAACACTTTACTGCAGCATTATATTACTGACTAGAGAGATGCGGTCCTGGGGAGAGCAATCAGCTTGAAGGCTCCAGTGATACACTCAGACCTTCCTGAGTCCTCGGATGTACTGGAGATGAAGGCAGTATCCCTCATCCACAGCACTCAACTGTTGCAGGAAGAGGGACCCCTTCCAGGGCCTGAGAGTGGGCTCTTGTCTAACACTGCGAAATGAATTGTCCAAGGAGACACATGTGCTGACAAAGCAAAAGATTTCTTTGGGAAGGATGCCCCAGGGGACGAGCAGCACGCAGGAACACAGGAGGACTGCTCTGCCTCCTGATTCAGTCTCAGGTTTTATGGTAATTGGGGTTAGGTTCCAGGTTGTCTCTGGCCAGTCATCTTGCTTGGCCCATATTTGGTCTGACTCAGGGTCCTTCTTTGGAGAAGGGCATGGCCACCCACTCCAGTATTCTTGCCTGGAGAATTCCATGGACAGAAGAGCCTGGGGGGGAGGGGGGTTACAGTCCATGGAGTCACAAAGAGTCAGACATGACTAAGCGACTCACACTCCATGTCCTTCCTGGTGGTAAGCGCATCTCTCAGCCAAGATGGATCCTGGTGTAAAGGATTCTGGGAGCTTAGTCATCTCAACCCTCCTTTGGTCCCTCCTAGATTCTCCCAGTTAGTTTTTGGCAGCAGCAGCACCACACATTCCTTGTTTGAAGCTCTGTTGTGAGACAACTCAAGCAAGCAGTTATCATCAGTTATCACCATGCCTGACCACTGCAGACAATTTCAGTCAACAGTTCCCTAACACAACTTAGCTACAGCCAACACCTCATAAATACCATCAGTTCATGAGGGTAGGTTTTGCTCCAACACATAGGACGACCCCTTTCTTTCTTTGCTCTGGTGGCCCTGATTAGTTCATATGTTAGATCCTGGATATCCTGGAAGTTAACTGACCCGGGTTTCTCTCCTTCCTCCTCTCTCCCAAGAGAAATCCTACAGGAGATCCAGAGGCTGCGGCTGGAGCATGAACAAGCTTCTCAGCCCACGCCGGAGAAGGCACAGCAGAACCCCACTCTGCTGGCAGAGCTGCGGCTCCTCAGGTAAGAAAAAGAGCCCAAAGTGTCTCAGGAAGGGCAGTGTTTGAGATCGTCCATACCATCTGACAGTGTCTACCGGAAAATGGTCGTCAGCCGCCTCAGCTGCCAATGTCTGTTTGCTTTTATTTTAATAGCACACATCTAATTGCTGAGTTTTAGGGGTTTGGGGAAAGAGGCTATTTCAGTTCAGTTCAGTTCAGTCGCTCAGTCGTATCCGACTCTTTGCAACCCTATGAAGCTCAGCACGTCAGGCCTCCCTGTCCATCACTAACTCCCAGAGTCTACCCAAACTCATGTCCATCGAGTTGGTGATGCCATCCAACCATTTCATCCTCTGTCGTCCCCTTCTCTTCCTGCCCTCAATCTTTCCCAGCATCAGGGTATTTTCCAATTCATCAGCTCTTTGCATCAGGTGGCCAACGTATTAGAGTTTCAGCTTCAACATCAGTCCTTCCAATGAACACCCAGGATTGATCTCCTTTATATTTACATTTTAATTTTTTCTTTGACTCAGAGAAAAGGACACAGGGTTCTTCAAATCCAAAACCAAATGTTTCACTGGAAAAAAAAATTTATAGTGCACTTTTTTTTTATTAAAGCATAGCTGATGTAAGTTATTATGTGATATTATGGAAGCTGTGCTCTGTGTGTTTCGTTGCTCAGTCACGTCAGACTCTGTGACCCCATGGACTGTAGCCCTCCAGGCTCCTTTGTTCATGGAATTCTCCAGGCAGGAATACTGGAGTGGATAGCCATTTCCTTCTGCAAGGGATCTTCCCAACCCAGGGATCAAACCTGGGTCTCCCGCATTGCAGATGGATTCTTTACTGCCTGAGCCACCAGGGAAACCCCATACTTCATTTATGGATTTTATAAAATATTGGCTGTATTCCCCATGTTGTACAATATACATATTATGTACATATACATGTTATTTTATACATAATAGTTTGTACCTCTTAATGCCGAGCCCTATGTCACCCATCCCCCACTTCTCTCTCCTTTCTGGTAACCACTAGTTTGTTCTCTGTATCTGTCTCACTGGAAACAAATTTGAACTCAACTCTTTTTAGTTATTTGCGCTATCAACAATATGTTTATGATAAAAAGGGATCAACAAAACAAACATGTAAACAACTAAATAATCATTACTTTTTAAATTTAAAAATTTATCTGTGACCCATAAATTTTCTCCAAGTCTCGGTCCCTAGGAGTTGTCTATATAGATCCTCACACCTTGTTCTGCAAATGAATTTGAAGGCCGGGTGTTACCTAGTTGGTCATCATGAAATATTGTTGGAAAGGACCAAAGAAGGTCATTTGGTTCCACCCCTGAATTTCAGGGTACTTCTCAGCCTCAGACTGTAGAGAGTAGCAGGACGTGGCTGAGGACTGTGAGCACGTGCAAAAGGAGAATCAGACCAAGGGCTCTGCTTCAGACCTACCAACATGCCTTGAATATGGCACTGCCCCAAGCCTGTCTGTGTGGAAAACAACGCAAACACAAACCCAAAGATACTCCCTAGTGGAAAGGTCATATTTCACAAGGCAGTCATAGTCAGCAAGGATAACATTCTTTCCATCTTTCAGTTTGGATGTCAAGTGTATTTCAGGTATATCGAACTCCAAGGCATACTTTTTATAAGTACAGATGCCCCTGTTCAGAAACCCTTGTCAGAATTAGACCACCACTTGCTCGCTCCGGTGGCTCAGACAGTAAAGAATCTGCCTACAACGTAGGAGACCTGGGTTCAATCTCTGGGTTGGGAAGAACCCCTGGAGAAGGAAATGGCTACCCACTCCAGTATTCTTGCCTGGGAAACTTATGGACAGAGGAGCCTCGTGGGCTACAGTCCATGGAGCCGCAGAGTCAGACCTAACTGAGCGACTAACACTTTAACTTGCTCCTTACAAGGAGACTAAATTTAGCACATTCTGTATGGCTGTATTTGTATTTTACCAAGTCCCAGTTGATTGTATGGCTCTTTCTAGGGGCTCCACTCTAACCCAGCTCTATGGACATACTCACATCTGAGCACTCAGCATACCTGGCCCAGGGAGCAGGCCCGGCCTCTCAGGTGGGATCTAGTCTCCCCAGGCTCACACCTGGCTGAAGGGGCAGACCCACCAAAGGCCTGAGTTATGGGAAGGAGATCTGTAGAGCTTGCAGCTTGTAGAGGCTTCTGGATGTGCAGAGATCACATCATACTTTAGAAGAACGAAATAATTTAATGGAAGAAATATAAAGTCTTCCTTTTCAATATATGTGATTTCTGGTCCTTCCTTCAGAGAGAGGTTTTAGCAATTCTTGCATGTTCTGCTACAGCATCACCCAGAAGGGATGAAAATGAAAAGAATGTTTTACATCCTCCTCCTCCTCAAGGACTTATGAAAGTAAATCACTGCTTGAAAGCAGCATATTTTGCCAAATAGGATTATGTCGGCCCTCCAGACTCACAAGTAAAGAAAGTTGAGTCTACTACATGCGTGCATGCTAAGTCGCTTCAGTCATGTCTGACTCTTTGCCAGCCTCCTCTGTCCATTGGGGATTCACCAAGCAAGAATACTGGAATGGGTTGCCCTGCCCTCCTCCATGGGATCATCCCAACCCAGGGATCAAATTTGTGTCTCTTACATCTCCTGCATTGGCAGGCAGGTTCTTTACCACTAGCGCCACCTGGAAATCACTCTCATGACCCTAGATGAGTTTAAAGCTATACTAAGGAATCTGGCTCTGTGGGGAGCTTCTAGACTTTTGGCCATCACCATCAGAGGGTGGCCCACACATCCAGCTTGAGATATGAGACACCTACATCCTAGCTGATTTGCTTGCCTGCCTCCATATTCTCCAGCCTTCCCAGGTGGTGCTAGTGGGAAAGAACCTACCAGTCAATGCAGGAGACGCAAGTTCAGTCCCTGGGTCCAGAAGATCCTGTGGAGGAGGGCACGGTTAGCCACTCCAGTATTCTTGCTTGGAGAATCCCATGGACAGAGGAGCCCAGCAAGCTATAGTTCATAGGGTCACAAAGAGTTGGACACAACTGAAGCAACTTAGCATGCATTCATGCAGGTTGTGTGCCGGGCTTCCCAGGTGGCTTAGTGGTAAAGAATCTGCCTGCCAATGCAGAAGACACAGAAGACCTGGGTTCAATCCCTGGGTCCAGAAATTCCCTAGAAGAGGAAATGGCAACCCACCCCAGTATTCCTGCCTGGGAAATCCCATGGACAGAGGAGCTTGGCAGGCTACAGTCCAAGGGGATGCAAAAGAGTCGGACTCAACTGGAGTGACTTAGCAGGTATTCCATATTCTCCACATTTCTTCTGCCTGGGATAAATACCCTCCCTTGAAGGATATTTCTCTGGATACTGATGAACCACTTATACTATGCTAAGCACTTTAACAATTTGGAAGTTTCACAAATACCCAGAAACCCTGCTCTGGGTGTTTTATCCTTTAGTCATTTCAGACTTTTCAAGAGTTCCAAAACAGTGACCTCTTGCCAGTTACTTTGGCCTTGAGTTCACACTGAGGGGTGACCATGTGAAGCCGCCAAAGGAACTCCTTTCTGTAGCTTTGACAGAGGTCTCCTCCATCTATTACATCTTTTCTGGGCCTCTTATTGAGAAGTCAACAGGAGAAATTTCTTTATGAGGGAAATGAGGGCAGCAAGATCAGTGCTTTGCTTTTCATGAACACATAGTTTATTTTTATCTTAAGGGCACCACAACCTTTCTAAATGATCACATTCCCCATTTTACTTTAGCCATGACAATGCTGAAAGCCAAGTTTACAACCCAGATATGGCAACTGAATAGCATTATAGGACAGGCATTTCATAGACGCTTCCTATGCACTAAGCTCTACCTAACACTGTTTCATACAGTTGCTGTAAAAAACCTGGAAGATGGCCATTACTATTATAGGGAAAGGAAAGGGTTAGTCCCTCAGTCATGTCTGACTCTTTGTGACCCCATGGACTATAACCCCCAGCCTCCTCTGTCCATGGGATTCACCAGGCAAGAATACTGGAGTGGGTTGCCATTTCCTCCTCCAGGGGTCTTCCTGACCCAAGGATTGAACCTGGGTGTCCCACATTGCAGGCAGATTCCTTACCATCTGAGCCACCAGGGAAGCCCCTTACAACTATAGTCTTTCTATAAAGAAACTGAGGTTCACAGAAGTGAAATAACTTGCCCAAGATCCTGCACCTTGAGCCTCACAGGTCGATTCTCTCTCCTTTCCTTGTGTATGAGTGTGCTCAGTCGTGTCTGACTCTTTGTGACCCCATGGACTGTAGCTCATCAGGCTCCTCTGTCCATGGGATTTTCCAGGCAAGAATACTGGAGTGGGTTGCCATGCCCTCCTCCAGGGGATCTTCCTGACCCAGAGATCGAACCCCCATCTCTTAAGTCTCCTGCATTGGCAGGGGGGTTCCTTACCACTAGTGTCACCTGGGAAGCCTCTCCTTTCCTTGGTCGTAATTATCTCCTGCCTAGACTGTTATAATAAGCATTTACTTGATTCCCAGCCTCTGGACAATATACACTGCTATCATTTGATTATTCAGTTAGTTCAATTTAACAAATATTCCTAAAATGCAGTGTGCCCAGAACTGAGTTGAAAAAGATATTGTTCCTGGTCTCATAGAATTTGTGGTCAAGTAGGAAAATGACATAAATCAAATAGATACACAAAGAAGAGTGTGATTATTAACTGTGATAAGTTCTATAAAGAATCTTTCTTTAAAAAAAAAACAGACATAATTATCAAGCCTGCTACATCAGTCAGAAGTTACCATGAGGAAGGATTGTTTGAGTTGAAGCATTGAAGATGAATACGTGAGGAATGGGGATTATGGACAGGGGAGGGAGCTGGAAATAGCTGATGAAAGGGTTTACTGGTAGATAGATGCTATATGTACAACACCAAATAGCAGGAGCAAATCTGGAACCTTTTTTGGAAGTGAAAGTTTTGTTGACCTAGAATGCAGTGAGTGAACGAGTACATACTAAGAGTCAGAGCTGTACATGTAGGTGGGTGTGGACTGTGATGCTGTGTGGCCATGCAGACCATCTTGAGGAAATTGCTATCAATCCTACGACAGGAAGCCATTGGAGGATGAGAGTTACGTATCGAGTTAACACAGTGGATTAGTTTGGCAAGTCAGTTTCACATGAGTCAAAGATCTTATTCTAATATTAATTTTTAGAATACAGGCAATCAAGAGGCACAAATGAAGCTGATTGCAGCATTCCATGTGGTTCCCCTGGTCTTTCCTTCCAATATTGGATGGCGAATCTGAGGGAAAGTTTGCAAGGTGATCTAGTGAGCCTTCCCACTGCAAAACCATTAAGACACAGCTAAAGAACTGTATTTGCAAAGACAATACCATCTTCTACAAAGAAGAAACTAGTAAACTGTAAAGCAAATTTTCTTCACAGTACAAATGTGAAGAAAAACAATTATAAATTTTCATATTTATCTCTTGTCTAAAAAAATAAGCATATTATATACCCCAAAGTTGCATTCTTTTTAAGGTATATGAGATTATTCTTTAAGAAAACTTATTAGTATAAAGAAACTTTTTTGTGGAATTATAATCTCTGATGCAGGTCTGTGGTTTCCAGACTTGAATTGCATTAGACCAGCTTAATTTTTTTTGGGGGGGTGGGGGGAAACAACATAAAGTTAAGTACATTTTGTTTCACCATGTAACCATTTTGTTTGGCTGTACTAGGTTTTAGCTGCAGCACACAGCTTCTGTATTTGCAGGAAGCAAGAACTACTCTTCGCTGCAGTGCATGGGCTTCTGGTTGCTGTGGCTTCCCTTGTGCAGAGCACAGGCTCTAGAGCATAGGCTCAGCAGCTGTGGTCCAGGACTGCGTTTCTCCATGGCAGGTGGGATCTTCCTGGACCAGGGATCAAACTCGTGTCCCTTGCATTGGCTGGCAGATTCTTCATCGCTGGACCACCAGGAAAGTCCCTATAATGACATCTTTAAGCTACCATCACCTGTTACCATGTTTCATGAATGCAGTATATTTTTTAACTTTTTATTTTGAAAAATGCTTTACACCTGCAGAAGAGTTTTAAGAATATCACAGTAAATTTCCCTTCTACGCTTCACCTAGAGATTGCAAACATTTTGTCGCACTCTCCTCTATCTCCCTATATATGTTTACATATGTAAACTACACACACATTTTTGATGAGCTGTTTGAGAGTCAATTGCACACATCAAAACCCTTTACCCCTAAATACTTAAGTATATATTTTCTAAGAAAGAAAGACATTCTTTTCTGTAACTATGGTATCATCATCAAACTCAGAAAAGTTAATATTGATATTTATTATTATTATCTATTAATAATATACAGTTAAGCCTTCCCTGGTGGCTCAGATGGTAAAGAATCCACCTGCCATGTGGGAGACCTGGGTTCAATCTCTGGGTTGGGAAGATCCCCTAGAAGAGGGTATGGCAACCCACTCCAGTATTCTTGCCCGGAGAACCCCATGGACAGAGGAGCCTGGTGGGCTACATTCCATGGGGTCATACAGTCCAAAGAGTCAGAAACAACTGAGCGACTAAGCAATATACAGTACGTATTAAAATTTTGGCTATCATCCCAACACTGTCCTAAAGAAAGTAGGTTTTAACACACACAAAATTAAAAATAATCTGACAGAATATCAGAATAAAAGGCATTTTTTTAGAGATGAATGTATTTAGCTCTATGAAAATAAAATCACTATTTAGTCCAGGTTTTCTCAATTTTCCTTGGAACACTGGAGGCTGCACCACACTCTTGTTATCAAACCCACATTTGGTAACCATTGGTGTAAACACAGAGAAGACATTATTAAATAAATTTTTTAAAAAACATTTATTTCAATCCAATGCATGAAAGAGTAAATGTCATGTTTTGAAAGAGTAGTACTTAAGGTAAATACAAATAAGGCTATTTCAATGTTGATTAATTATATATTACTATAAGTTAATTTTTTCTGATGGTTTTTAGATACTTCTTTTAATATTTCTCATCTATAATTTTAAGAGTTTGCTTTAACCTTCCTCTCAAAGTGCTTTTGGCCTTTAGCTCTCAAAAGGCCAAAAATTACAAAACAGCATCTAGAAGAGAACTGGAAATAAATCAGAAACATTATCTACTCTTCTGCCAAGCCCTACCGAGGATATGGCTGGAACACCATGTGCAGACAAGGTCAAAGGAAAAAACAGCTAATGGAGTTGTCACTGAAGAATATTGTTGAATTGGGCAAGACTTTTTCAGAATTAGAAGTCTACAGATCAGCAAGACAAAAGACTAAAATAGGATACCATTTATAAGGTCTATAAAATTATGGTGTTCCTTATCCCGAAGATTCAGAAAAGGAGCAATTGTAAAGAAAATCAACAGAAGGATTGCTCTCAAAATAAACTTTAAGTAGCAACAAAAGCCAAAAATATAAATATATTTTAAAAATGACATGTTTATAAATTTTGAATTCATAAATCTTGATAGTGAAAGCCTATATGAAAGCAAATTAGAAATGTCTCATTTATATCCATCACCTGTCCTCCCACAAAATATCTTTCAACTGGATGAGTCACTGACCTAATGCAGTGTGACAGTTTTATGTTGTCCGTTTTTCATTTCAGAGTCCCTGCTATAAGCTCCACTTAATATTATGCCTGTGTCATTGAGGCTAGACATGTCCATTCATACATTAACACATTTATGGTTAAGGCATCCACATATTTTTAAAAATATAATTTCCAACATTTCCGAATTAGAAGCCCTTGGGGCAAGGAATAAATTGTATACATCATCTTTTTTTCACTAACAGTCATGAAAAAAGAGATTGAAATAGATTTGGAAACTATACTTCAGAAATGTGGATCCTTAGTATTTGTGTCCTTCCTGGTTTTCATTCTTGTTGACAGCTGATAGAAGTTTTGCAAAACAAGGTTAAGCAAACACAAACCTTGTAGATTATTACAACAGTTGTGTAGGAACTCCTTTTTTCTGACTTCACTCTAAGCAGCCAAACCCAAAGCAGAAAATTTAGATCGACTCTAAAACTATGTACAAGGAAAAGTTCTCCTCTGAAAAGCACCACATTGCATCCTAAGAACTGAACAGATGAAAAATTTACTTTTCTAAATCTGATTTCCGGACACTAAAGTAATCAGTATTTTCTGTGAGATTTACAAGGGTCCTTGGGCTTGGAGGATCTGTGGGTTTGGCCTATTTCAGTGGCAGTTTGATTTCTGATCTGAGGACCCAGTGGCCCAGCACAGTGTCCATGACATAGTAAGCATTCAGAAATATTTTATTTTCCAGTAATTAAAATTAAAATCCAATAAGATTTTAATTTTGTTTTACTATGACTTTTATAAACATATACCTGGCTGCTCTGGTATCTCAAAAGGTAAAGAATCTGCCTGCAATGCAGGAGTGAGTGAGTTATAGTCACTCAGTCATGGGTGACCCTTTGGGACCCCATGGACTGCAGCCTGCCAGGCTCCTCTGTCCATGGGATTCTCCTGGCAAGAACACTGGAGTGGGTTGCCATTTCCTTCTCCAAGAGACTCGGGTGCAGTCCTTGGGTCAGGAAGGTTCTCTGGAGAAGGGAATGGCTACCCACTCCAGCATTCTTGCCTGGAGAATTCCAAGGACAGAGGAGCCTGGCAGGCTACAGTCCATGGAGTCCCAAATGAGTAAATGACTAAGAAGCTATAATTGTTCATTCATTTGACTTTTTCCTGCCAGGTAACCATGTCAGAGACCCAGAGATGCCCTTTTTCTAGTGGTCCTCCACTGCCCCAAGACTGGGAAATGTGGTTAGCTCAGTGAGCTGAGTGCTGTTTCTAACGACAACCACTACCTCTTTCTTAGGCAGCGCAAGGACGAGCTGGAGCAGAGAATGTCCGCCCTCCAGGAGAGCCGGAGAGAGCTAATGGTCCAGTTAGAAGGTCTCATGAAACTACTAAAGGTAAGATGTTTCACATAGCTATTTCCTAGACCTACAACTATGGCCTTTGTAAAAAAAAATTTTTTTAATAAATAAAATAAATTTTGAAATTTGCACCTAATGTGCAATGATTTTCCAATGACTATATATGCGATTTCCTCCCCAAAAAAGTGGTTTCAAACTCAGTTTTAGTATCTTTTCTTAGACACATCAAATGATAACATCAATTGTAGGGCTCATTCTTATCCATTTCCTAGAAGCAGACTACTAAGGACCTTCAAGGCATAAGTTATTTCCAGTTGGCTCATTTCCAGTTCCTTTTGTCCTTGGAAGTAATCTTACTAAAACTGAATTTATTCAAAAATATTTTACATTTCATGGCCTGCAGCCATTCTGACTAAACTGAACAGAAACTCATATCTAATTCAGAAAATGAAGATACAGACATTAAATAATTTTGGTGATTATGGTTTTATTAAGAGGAGTAACTTTTTTTCATTACAGTAAATGTTATCAAATCTGTGTGGCTTTAGCAGCAAGTCACATAATTTCTCTGGGTTTCAAATGCAAAGCGTAAATGGGAATATCTCCTTCACTTTTCTACAAGTGGAGCATGTAATAAGATGATCTGCAGGGTGTTATAATAATAATTCTCATTGGGAAGTGGCATTCTTTCTCTCATAAATCTCAGTCCCTTCGTCAGTATGCACAAAGTTGCATGTCAACTCGAAAGGAGACTCATATGGCCACATGTTCCTGATCGCCCCAGCGGACATGTCAGTGCTCTGTGGCCCTCCTGCCTGATGTAAACAAGCATGAACCAGTGACATGCCAAAGGCAGGAGCTAAAGCTTATGTTAGAGTTACACAGACAAAGTCTCTGGGACAGACAGCTCACTTGCAAGACAAGATGTCCTGTCTTTCAGTCTATGGCTCCCCTATATCCCTGACACCCCATCATTTACTGTTTCTGTATTGTTTTCTTTCTTTCTTTTTCTTTCTTTCTTCCCTTTCCTTTCCCTTCTTTTCTTCCCTTTCCCTTTCTTACTTTTCTTTCTCTCTCCTTTCCTTTATTTCTTTTATGTATTTATTTTTTAATTTCAAGACTTAAAAAACAGTTAACAGATATTTGTTGAAACCTACTGTGTCCCAGGCACTGATGTAAATGTAACACTTTTTTTTTCCTTTTCTTTTCTTTATTCTTTATTCCTGTAGTCGACTTTTCCTGCCATCAGTATCGGAAATGCTTTATCTTTACTGAACAAAATTTACTTTTCATTGTATCACACATATAAAGTATAAAATTCCACTTTTGTTGTAGTATCTATCCTCTGTCCATGGAATTCTCCAGGCAAGAATACTAGGGTGGGTTGCCATTCCCTTCTCCAGGGGATCTTCCTGAACCAGGGATCAAACCTGGGTCTCCTGCATTGCAGGCAGATTCTTTGCCATCTGAGCCACCAAGGAAGCCCATGTTAAGACAGGACTAGATAATTAATAACCTCTTGCTATTTCTGCCCTATCATCTCATTTGATGATCCAGACAAGCTCTTTCTGTTTTTTTTTCCTCCAAATATACCAAATAGAGTGGGCCTGCCCCATCTTTCCCTTCAATGAATGACAGGAAACAGAAAACAGCCCTCTGGTTCTATTTCTATGCTTCCGTCACTGTAGCAATGGGAAAGGATTCTGTTTACCACTTGCCATCTTGGCATCACTGTAGCCTAACTAAGCGTAGTCTATTTTATCAGGAGGTACCAGTGTGCAGGATAAAGAGAGAAATCATGTTGAAAGATGGTTGGACACATGGAGGAAAGAGACAGGTCCATAGTTTCCAATACCTAAATAGACTTGGAACTCTAAGTAACCAAGGTAGAAGAGGCTTGGTTTCCCCCACCTTTATTCCTTCACACTGTGTACATGCTCCTATTGGAACCCTGGGTAACCTAACCATTATTGATTCAATCTTTCTGTAGGAAGAAGAATTGAAGCAGGGAGTAAGTTATGTGCCCTACTGCAGGTCTTAACTAACAGTGGAGGGGCCTGCCGTCCTGCCATTTTTCTCATTGCTTTTGCCTCTAATGTACGTTCATGCTTCAGTTTGGAAAGAGAAAAAAAAATTATACTAATTTGCTTCCTTTTCAATGTAGTGCTTGAATTGAGACACATAAAATTTAGCATTTTTTTATAACTACAACTACCATCAACATCAAAAGAAGAGCTATTACATCTTTTAGAACAGGGAACACATTTAATTTGTTGGAAACTTCTTAGATCTCCAGGGTCTAAGTTTCAAACCAGTCTCATGCTTTTTCTGGGTCGTGGATCAGACCCTTCTCTTAATAGAAAGACACTCACCACAATTACTAATGTTCCGTTAGGTAGAACCCACTGAGGTTCTACCTCAGTTAGCATTCAGAAGCTAACCTCGACATCCTCTCATACTGTGAATGTTCAGTTCAGTTTCCATTTTACTGAAAAGGTGTGGAACTTCTTTTTGTAAAAATCAGCCAATTACATCTCCTCTCATTGCCTAATTACTAAGCCCTGTTCCCCACTGCTCACCATTAAGTGTTCCATCTAATAATAAGAGAAAGACTGGACTCTAACTGTTCACTTCTCAGACTAGAATATACCTACCATTGGTTGACGACCATCTCCAAAGAATAGGTAACTTTCAGCCTTTCTCTTATCACCAAGCACCTTTCTGATCTGGGAGTTCACAAGAGGTTACATACATCTTCCCTGGAAATAGGAACCCTGTGGCTCTCTGTAGCTGAACTGAAGCCCTCTGTCTGACCACGTGGCCTGGTGCAGAAGCCAGCAGAGGGAGCAACGTACTCAAAATACAATAAGAATAAAACAAAAGCAAAATAAAAGCAGCTTTTATTTCCAGTGCATGTACCGAGCTGTGTATGACAATATATCCCACCTGCCGGTCTTATCAAAAAGTTTGACTATTTCCATGGATCCATGACAACCACAGCCTGTCTGATTTCAACGTACCCTTTCATTCTTCTGTATTCTCTTTCCTATTATTCATTGTGTGTGTTTGTGTGTAACAAAGAATGTTTGCAAAATGCTGGACACATTTTTACCCTTCATTCCCATGGTCTGTAAAAAAAAAAAAAAAGGGAAGTGTAAAACGAATCTGTAATGTCAGACAATAAAGACAATGTATTACATTATTTGTATTTTGTGAACAAAGTTACTTCACTAAACTGAAGTCAAATTTTAATGAGAGACAGCCCCCCTGGGTAAAGGACACATATTTGCTGCGTGTATAATTGCCCATAAATTCATACCTGGGGTGTTGCTATTGTACATACAAAACACTTAGATCATGGTAAAGAAAAATGCCATCTCATGGTCCTTTTCTGCAAACAGCCTCTTTTCTTTCCTGTCTCTTACTCAAGATGTGCATAGAAAACAGAAAGAAAGCTCAACTATAACCTTACTCCTCCTAGTGGAGCCAGAGGGTAACCATCCTGCAGTCAGTCAGCCTGGCTTTAGCCATTGTCCCTTGGGGACCTTCTCTCTTCCATTTCCAAGGCAACGCATTCTTGAAAGGTTCAGTGGACCAGGACGTTCATAAACAGATGGATGCATAGAGCCAAACCATGGCAGCGTCCATTACTGCATTACTGCCTGCTTCTCCTCCAGTTCCTCCCCCGCTGAGTCCTCAACAGCTGCAGCATCACTGAAAGTCAGCCAGCAGTGGTTATCGCTGCCTAGGTTGTTAAGGACCACTATTGGCAACACCCAGAGATGTCAGCAATGCATTGTCTGGGTCAGTGGAGTCTTTGCAGTCTTACTCATGCCTTTGCTTATAGTCAAGCCTCTTTTCCAAAAGGACCCAAGGCAGCTTACAACTAACTAAAGACATAAACAATGACTTCATAAAATAGAAGTAGAAAAATCAAACACTAAAGAAAACGCAAATATGCTTATCTTAAGGGACAGGGGTGTTACTCTGAGCTTCCTGGCAATGAGGCAAAAAAGGGAAAACATAATTGGTGGTTTTATCAGAACAGAAATGTCAGTCCTCAAGGGACAAAAATTTCTGTTGGCATAAAATATAAAAAGGAAATTTCACTCGAGCTTTACTAGAGGAGGAGTGAATAATAAAGCAGACACATGCAGTAGTAGATTTCATGTGGCTGATTCTTATACTGACCTTCAGTCAAAATTAAAGACAGAACCCCATATGTCCCAATCCTGCAGAGGCAGTTCTACAAGGAAATAAACAAATGCCATCTGAATTTATAGACTTATCATAGTATAACATGATCTAAGGAGAGAATTTAGAAGTTTTAGTCTGGCGTCTGCTTCTAAATTCTGTTTTTATTTATGAGCCTTTCCCCTCTGGGGACAGTCTCTTTGTAAAATCAGATTTAAGACACCACACACAACAAATTGTGCTTGATTTAATAACCTCTACTTGCTTTATCATAAGTCTGTGTGGTTCAATGTATTTTATTATACTGGTATATATAATTCCTACTTATACTGTTTCTTGTTCGAGGTAATGCATGAATTTATTCCCCTTGAGGAGAGAACATGAATTTTTTTAAAAAAGAAATAGTGCCTGTAATATAATATGATGATGATTATGGTCTCATAAGCAATAAATTTTTTTACAAACTTGAGTCGAAATTATCCTACCCTCTTTCTTCTTTGTGTATTTTTAAGATTTATTGAAGGAACCATAAAAAGAACACTCATAAAAAGTTTAATAATGAAGGCGGCTGGGATACAATAGCAGTGACGGTATGTTCCCGAGTTTCTAGTATCTTTCCAGTGTCAAATACCATGACCTGGTCTATAATCAAGTATCCTGACTTTGAGTTCAGAAAGTAGGATCTCAATAATAATTTTCTTAGAAAGATTACTGGAGTTAGCCCTGAGTTATAGTGGTTCCAGTTCCTTACTCACAGCTCTAAGAGCTTGAGTAAGTCAATGAACTTCCTAGCAATTTATCTCAAACATACTGGTAATACATGGCTCTCTGGGTTGTTGTAGAGATTTAAAAAGATAATGGATATAAAAGCACTTTGTAAAATGCTCTGTGCATGTCAGATATAAGGATAAATGTATGCCTGTATGTATGTGTACACATATACATCAGAATATATAGGCTTTTCTAATTTTACCCACATTTTACACACACGCACAGACCCACACATGCACATACACATACGCACACACACACACATGCACACACACACATGCACACACACATGCGCGCACACACACATACACACACATGCGCACACACATACACGCACACATACACACTTATAGTCTTTCTCACATTAGCTAACAGTGTCTCAATCAGGAGAAGAAAGTCACACATCATTCCCAGTTCCATCTCCTGCTCCACTGTGTTCTCTGTTTACAACAGAATGGCCCGATTCACTGGGGAAATCATGGTCACTTAGGTTCCTGCCTCTTCCAAACATATTGTGAAATGTGCACAGGTCAGAAATAATAGATTTTACCAGTTTAGGTTCACCTTCCATCATGTCCCCTGCTCGTCCTCTCTGGTGGGTAGCCTATGGAGTAGTGAAGTGATCAAAAATGAATACGGGTGGGGCTGGTTCCCATCAGAAATAAGCAACTGTAATATTAGGACTAAAATCTGTGCTCAAAAACGTACCTCCCCAGCCTCTCTCTCTCTCTCTACTCGCCTCTTCTCTCTGTCTCTGTCCTCTTCCTCCTCCTCTCTCTCACACTGCTTTTAAATTAGGAATTGTTAACTAATTCTTGAAAAGTAAAAATTGCCTGTCTGCTTAAAAAGCCTTACAAAATGGTCCTGTAGTTCAGGATGAAGGCTGAGCCCCTTGAGGGACACCGGAGGCCCCCACACCTGGCTCCAACTCTTTCCAGCTTCATCTGTACCACGCCTCACCGTGAGCCTGGTGTATCAACCCCACAGGCCTCCCAGCATGTCTGCAGTACCCCTCAGACTCCCCAAGCCTTTTTCCCCCTGATACTCCAAGCCCTGGAATGCTCTTCTGTCTCCCACAGCACTTCCTCTTTTCTGCCTGGAAATCTCTGCTGTAAGATGAAAGGCACGTGGTTCCTCCTGTCTGGACAATCAGAATTAGGCAACTCATCTGCATCTCCACATGAAGCCCTGTGATGATAATCAGGGTGGTTTGGAAGAAAGGGTGAGAAGAGGGTTGAATGTCACTAAACAGGAGGCCACGTAAAATCAGTCAGGCCTGACTGCACTGCATTCTCCACCAAACCTGAGAGGCTGACTTTCGGGGAGTGGGTGACCTGGGTGGGGGACAGTCCACAGTACCACCTCCCCTTGTCTCTGGACCATCCACTCTGCCATTCCTCCAGATGGTTCTGGTTCCACAAAGCAACACTTGGCACTTCCCCTGACGCCTCCTTCCTTTCTGGGATGGAGTGGAAACCCAAATCCTTCCTGGAAAAAAAAAATCAGAAAATTTATGGATCTTGTCAGACTTTTTAAAAATTGATACAACAGCAGGTTGAGTGGACTCTCAGAGAATGGAGGGTAGAAATGAATTTTTCATTTATTCTCTGGGAAGAGAGCTATTTTAAATTTGCCAAGTATGATGTATGGTTTCCTTCTTCCATAAATCAACTCTCTCCTCAGGAATTTGAAATCTATATATTGATCTGCATGGACCATTGTCCCTTAAGTCTTTGCTCCATTAATCACCGAGTAATTTCCAGGAAAGGATGTTCACAGAGATTATTCACTCCAACTCTTCTAAAGTTGTTACCCAACCGCCATGCCTCATGACCAGGCTAGAGGCCACAGTTCTCTACAGGATACACTTGTGAAAATGAAACTGTACCATATTCACTCCTCTACCCCAAAGCTAAGAGGCAACTGCCTCCCCTAGTGGTCCAGCAAGAGCAGCAGTCAGAAAGGCCTGATATGGTATCCCCAGCAGTAAGTCTGGAAGTGAAAGCGTTAGTCACTCAGACATGTCCGCCTCTTTGTGATACCATGGACTATAGCCCGCCAGGCTCCGTCCATGGAATTCTCCAGGCAAGAATACTGGAGTGGGTTGTCATTCCCTTCTCCAGGGGATCTTCCTGACCCAAGGATCAAATCCGGGTCTCCCGCGTTGCAGACACTTTGCCATCTGAGCCACCAGCAAAGCCCCTGGGGTCTATTATGCATCGAACTGGCCGGTGTCCTGACAGAGGGAGGTGGGCCCTGATAAGCCAGGGAGCCGGGATTCTACCCCCAGGTCTAGGTAAAGGCTGATCATGACTGGGGAAAAGATGCAGCTGAATCTTTTCTTCAGCAATGAATCATCCACCTAAGTTCTTCACACAATCAGACTGCTTGTAATTGCACCAATTAAGATTCATTTAGGAGATAGTAGCTGTTAGTCATTCACACACAGGTGTAATTTAGACTCAGTCAATTGTTTTTCCCTTAACGCATAACCACAGTCTGTTATTTTTCTCTTAACACAAGACTACTCACGGGAGTTTTGAAGACAGGAAACAGGCAGAAAGGGGTAGGAAAAGTTGGCTTTGGAGACATGGTGTTAGGCAGGGAGAGCGGAGGTCAGCGTGGTACCCAGAGGGGGCGTGGTGCCCTGTGCTACCCCGTGGCAGCATCCCCGGGAGCATCGCATGGTAGAGAGCCTGGGGGCACAGGTGTGAGCAGGGCTGGCATGCACTACAGCCCCAGAACAGCCATCAGATCCTGAAACACAGGCCCACAGCCCCAAATCCAAAATCACTGGGTCCAGAGATGCTCCAGAACTCAGAATCGGGTTTTAGAGACTCACTACAGTGCAGACAGCACATAAGTAGCCTCATAGCAGTTATGAAACAACACGTGTAGCCCATTGGATTTCACATTTGCAGATAAGAGACTGGGGGCTTGTATTTCTGAAGTGACTGATAAGCGGCCTGAAGGCTCTTCTGCCACCCTGGCACTCACACTGCTCTCCATGAGCCGGTAACTAGAAGGTACTACCGCCTGGCCCAGCAGAAAGCCCTAGACCACTGCTCCAATACACTCCCCAGTACATCCTTGTCCCACGTCTTCTGAGCCTTTAGGTAGCTCACCTTTCAACATTCGTGACAACATGTTTTGAAACACCAATGGAAGGGTGCAAAGGTTGGTCACAGTGCCCGCAATCTTGAGAAGTAGCTTTGGTGATGTAGGAAAACCCTAGCCTTGTGGCCTAAAGGCTGGGGGTCCATTTTAGCTCTGTCCTTCACTAGCTCAGAGACCTTGGGTAAGGATGACCTCTGAGCCTCAGTTTGCTAACCTGAGAAATGGGAGTTCTCATACCTCAAGTGGTTGTTGAGAGGATTAAGTGAAGTAGATGGGATTAAGGTTCTTTCTAGACTATCAGTGGCTATTGAGATATAAGCTACTATCATGCCTAGCATTGATTAGTGAGAGAATAAAACAAACCTAGGCATACCAGTATGCTCTAGAGACTATAAATTGCATACGAGAGTGGAGTTTTATTATTATTGTGAACCTCCTATCACAGAAGAGGATGTGGCTTCCAGGGTAGAGAAGGTAACCCACCCTGAATAGCCAAGAGAAGGCTTCTTCCTTTAACACCCCTGTCCAACTTCCCATGGCCAGTCCCTCCTGCCAGCTGCATCTGGGTCCTTGGTAAAGAAAACAGATGAGAAAGGGTGAGGAGCCCTGCTAAGAGCCCTGTCTTGGAAAGGATGCACAGGAGGGTTGCCAGGGAGAGGCCCCTGACCTCAGAGGAACTGACCAACACCTGTCTCCTTTAGGGACCCTCCACCAGCCATAGACCATCCAGGCCATCCACAGCCCAGGGCAGGCACAGCACCTGGGCTCAGGCCCCAGCCCAGGCCCTCTAGCCCCATCTCCTGGACAGTTCTTTTCACCTCTCTGAGCATTGTGGTCCATGACGGCACATTTAGCCTAACAGGGCCTACTTCAGCTTGGAGAAACACCAGTGGGAATGTATGTGAAAACCTTTCATACATGGCAAGGCATGACTCAAAAGTGAAGTCACCACCTATTAGTGTGAGATGCAGGGAGGTGTCCAGATAGCTCATCAGCAGAGGAATCACCGTAATGACCTTGAGCTGCCCAAGTTCACTAGGGGAAACCAGGTCCATCCTGGAGAAGGCTGGGGCAAGGGGCTGCAAAGCATCACCAGCAGGCAAACTTCACTTCTCTGGGCCTCACGGGCCACTACAAGGTACTGTTGTGAGTGAAAGAGTGGAATACTCAGCACCTCAAGCATCACATGAGTTATTTTCTGTTTTGCTTCATTTTTAATTCTGGATTTTTCTCAATTTATGGATTTGACTTTTATGTGTGATGCTAGAGCCCTGGAAAGCTAACAGCATGGCAGTTTACAGGATTGATGTTGTGTGTTTTAACTGCAAGCAGCCAAACCCACAGCAAAGACCTAAATGGAATATTCCATAGCGCTGCTCTGGTGGTGCATGTCTGGGGTTTGAATGGGGTGATGATGAATTTCTGGAGCTTGCTGTGAAACAGTCCTCACTCTCCCTGGCCAGCCCCAGTGAGCTGGAGTGCCATTTATGTGAACATCTAATCTGTTGTATATGCACTTCTTAAATTTTCATGTTTGTGCTGACTTGACTGCCTTTGTAAACTAATTATTAAAACAGAAAATGATTTCAAGAGACCTCATTGTAGAGGCAAACCTGTGAAATTCAAGGTGTGACAAGTCTCAGAATGATTTCCTGCTGAGGGTTGGAGTGAGGAGATGAATGAATTTTAAGTTGTTTTCTCCTTTTTCTTCACTCATTTTTAAATCCCATTGTTCTTACTGCTAGAATATTGTTTTTTCATAGGTGAAGAGGAAGACAATTTTTATAGGAAGCATTACCCCCAAACTGGAAACCAAGATTTCTATGTTTCTCCTTCTCATTTTAATCCCTGAATCAAAGCAATTCAACAGTCAACTTTTCCTGTAAAGTAGGGACTAAACAATTTACACCTAATTTGAGACTTAATACACACAATATGGCATGACATGATGGGCACTATAAATTATCCTCTGCAGATGATGGCAAGACAGACTAGTTGAAAATTTAGGAAGAGCAATACACCACATCCATCCCAAATAGTCTTCGAGTTTATATTTAAAAGTTTTCCTAATGTCTTTTTATTCTGTATAGATCTTCCTTCAAGGAGAAAATAAACACCTTGAAATTATCACTGCTTAACGGTAGTTTCATTACGTGGGCAAACATCTCATATATTACGTAGAACAGTGAATGTGGTACTAATAATCTCAGCTTTCGGTTTGTAACCCAAACTTCAGACTATGTCCAGTAAGGTCCTAAACTGTCTGCACCTGCAACTCAAGTTGAGCATTGCCATCTCCATGACCTAGAACTTCAACCCGCTTTGGAATTCCATTGTCACGGTTTTTAACACTTAACAGAGGCACTGGGAAGGGCATTTGGCATCTTCTTGGGGAAAACAAATTAATGACTTGCCTTGTCTCTCCAGACCCAGGGGGCAGGCTCCCCCCGATCCTCCCCTAGCCACACCATCAGCAGGCCCATCCCCATGCCGGTGCGGTCCGCGTCCGCCTGCTCCACCCCGGCCCACACGCCTCAGGACTCACTCACGGGGGTAGGGGGAGACGTACGGGAGGCGTTTGCACAAAGTAAGTGGCATTACTATTATTATCATTACTACTTTGCTGTGTTCTGCTTTATGTGCCAAAAAAAGTCGCCAAGGATTGCGTGGTCTACGGTTATCAGAGCCAGTACCGAGGATGTTCTAGTCTGTTCCACTGCTTGTGTCAGAGCCAGGCCTGCAAGACCTTTTAGCAACTCCCTATGCTGATCTGTTCATCCCTTCATCATCTTATCTTCTGGCTTCTCTTGCCCTGCCCCGTTTTTTTTAATGAGCCTTTGCTCCTCAAGGGAAAGGAAAAAAATCCTTCCAACAGTATCCCTAGGAAATTATATGAATGTAATCCATTTGAAGATCCTGCAAGATATTTCTGGCTTTCTTCATTTTACATGAAAGGAAACTCAAGATTTGAGAGTAAACAAGCCCATCTCTTTAGCACAGAGGCAATGGAAAAGGATGCTTAGTCACCTTCCAGATGCCTTAGAGAGTTGACTCATTGCCTCTGTGTTTTGGGGCTGGGAGGCGAGGCCCCCACAGTTCACAGAGGACGGCAGAGAGTGAAGTGAGATGACAAACAGCATTCTCCCATCGCTGCCTCTTCTAGTATTGTATGTACTGCGAGGGTGTTTCCCTTCCTGCCAAAGTTTATCTGTAAGCCAGGTATTTGGAATCTTGAGCCTCTTTTTCAAAGATATTATGGACTTAGCCCTCTATTCCATGTCCACCTTGCCCCGCTCCCAGGCCAGCCCACAAATATCCTTTCAACCTTTGCCTTTGTTATTGTTTAGCCACTCAGTCATGTCCAACTCTTCTGCGACCCCTTGGACTGTAGCGCAGCAGACTCCTCTGTCCACGGGATTTCCCAGGCAAGAATAAGGGAGCTGGTTGCCATTTCCTTCTCCAGGCGATCTTCCCCACCCAGGGATCAAACACAAGTCTCCTGCACTGGCAGGCGGATTCTTTACCACTGAGCCACCAGAGAAGCCCCAGTTTGAACCCTTAATGTGATGGAAATCTCATAATAATCTTTCTCAACCATAGAGAAATATGGTCTAAGTTCCAAGTCAGGGTACTTGGCATACATCTTCTGCCCATGCCTTGGCAGCAGGAGCAAGAATCCTCAGCCCTTTTCAACCCCCTGAGGACATTCAGTGCACAGGGTTCCCATTCCCAAGAGGTACCTGAAATAGTTGGGGGAGTTCGGGGAGCCCTGCTGGGAGGTGGAGGCTGAGGTGCTGGAGGTCAGAATTTGATGCGCTTCAGCCACCAGGTAATGGCTGCAGCATCAGTAGCAGCTGCTGGGAAGGCACAGCTCTGGTGGGAAAACCAGATTTTTCATCTGTGAAGGCAATACTTAAGTAGGGTGATCACATATGCTGCCGGTTTACCTGCGACCATCCCAGTTTGTGCCAGGTCACCCAGTCATTTTTTTAAGTTTTTTTTTTTTTTTTTTGATGTGGACCATTTTTTAAACTTTGATTGAATTTGCTACAATATTGCTTCTGGTTCGTTTTGGTTTTTTGGCTGTGAGACATGTAGGATCTTAGATCCCCTACCAAGGATTGAACCCGCACCCCCTGCATTGGAAGGCAAAGTCTTAACCACTGGGCCACCAGAGAAGTCCTCATTCTTGTTACTAATACCACCCCTGTCACTTGTAAAATTTTCCCAGTTTGAACAATAAATTGTATGAATCCCCATCAGTTGCCATGTCTTCATACATCAAAGGCTATTGCCTTGAACACAAAGTTTTTTTTTTTTTTTTCAGGAAATGAACCAAAGCACTTCTGAAAAGAAGTCTTAGAAGTTTTCTTGCTGTAGAATTTCAATGGGAATGATAAACAGCATAAAAAGTTGGGGAAAAGGAGAGTTTTGAATTTTTTTTCCGTTATCATTCTTTCCTAAGGCTCGAGAAGAAATTTAAGGAATGACTTACTAGTAGCAGCAGATTCCATCACTAACACCATGTCCTCCCTCGTGAAAGAGTTGAATTCCGGTAAGTCCCTGTCCCCTCTTGTCTGTCTGCTCATTGCAGAAGGACCCATAACTTCTGTTAGGGATCCGCTCATAGAATGCTTAGGTGCAATCTTTTTAGCTGAAAACTCTGTATTCTTATCTTAAGATGTTTATTGTCTGAGTGAGAAATGTGAGACCATCTTGAGTTTAATAATTAAAACTTTGTGTGTAAACTTTTAAGAAAGGCCTCTGGAGATTTCAGAATGATCTTTAAACCTTATTTGTTGTTGTTAGTCTCTACATCTTATCCAACTCTGCGACCCCATGGACTGTAGCACGCTGGGCTTCTCTGTCATCCACTATCTCCCAGAGTTTGCTCAAATTCATGTCCATTGAATTGGTGATGCTATCTAACCATCTCATCCTCTGCCACCCCCTTGTCTTTTTGCCTTCAGTCTTTCCCAACATCAGGGTCTATTCTTAATTTTACTTATTACTCCAAAAATAGCTAATAACTCAGAATTGTATAAAGAAGAAAATAACATTTACTGTAAGCTAAACTACTCTGGTTTAACTATTCATTTAATGTTTAATATTTAGGTTGATTCCAGTTATTTACAATTAAAGACAACTTTCCTGTTTAAAAGAGATCTTCTCATTGTCAAGTATATAAAGATTTTTTTTAAAGATCTATGTGACATTTTGTTGGGATATTAGATTTTTTAGTACTGTTTATATTTTGCTGATGAAAAGATTATAAATACATGCTCAATGCAGAAAGTTTGAAAAATGCAGAAAAGAACAAAGAAAAATATTAAAATTGACTTGTAAATCCAGAATCCCATGTGTATGCCTGTGGCTGATTCATGTTGATGTATGGCAGAAACCATCACTATACTGTGATTATCTTCCAATTAAAAATAAAATTTTTTAAAAATTCAGAATTCCAAGTTAGCCACTGTTACATATATCATGACCCAATGTGACATGACACTGAACTTATTTTATAAGGTCAAATGTCTTATTTACTAATTTAGACTCTGTTAATTTGGAATGCATGGCTATTTGAATGAAGCTAAACTGAAATTTGGGCTTCTTAAGTGGCTCAGTGGTAAAGAATCTGCCCGCCAATGCAGGAGACAAGGATTTGATCCCTGGAAGAGGAAGATGCCCTGGAGAAGGAAATGGCAACCTACTCCAGTATTCTTGCCTGGGAAATCCCATGGACACAGGAGCCTGGTGGGCTATAGTCCATAGGGTCACAAAAGAGTTGGACATGAATTAGCGGCTAAACAATAACAAACTGAAATTCACCTTGGCAATATCACCAAAGAAAGATCTTCCCAGAAAATATATAGCATAAAATTGCAGTACTCTTTATCCTAATAATACTACAGAGTTTTAAAAAACTTAACAGTGTTAATATACAAATAAATATCTTGCTAGTTAGGAATACATTTCATCTATTCATGAAAGCCCTACTAGCCATACGACTGTTTTTCAGGACTGTGGTCATGTAGTTGAGATTACAAAAACTGTAAAAATTAAACTTCAACATTAATAAAACATCTGGATTTAAATTTCTGAAAGTATAATTAGAGTTAAAATAATGAAAATTGTTGCTATTATTTTAGGTTAAGATTACCAGATAGGATAAAAATGACAGTAATTAATATATATATCATGGTTAGTGGCATATACCCACTGCCCTAGCAAATGATGAATAAAATGAATGCATTCTCGTTGTGGACGTTTCAGAGTACTATTAGTTTATACTCTTACAGTACTTTGAAATATTAAGTGAATGTAGTATTTTAGGTTTGTTTATCTTAAGTTAAAGTAGACTTTCCCTAATAGCTTATGGAAACCCCAAACAAGCCTTTTGGCCAACCCAATAATATTAAGCAAAAGTAACAACGGTTTTAATGAAGAGGGGGAAAAACAGAATGCTTGGGGAATTGTCAGTTATTAAGACAAAAATTCCTTATATATTATTGAAATTTTAAAAAGACAGTGTGTGTGTGTGTGTGTGTGTTAGTTGCTCAGCCATGTCCAACTCCTTGCATCCCCATGGACGGTAGCCCACCAGACTCCTGTGTCCATGGAATTCTCCAAGCAAGAATACTAGAGTGTGTTGCCATTCCCTTCTTCAGGGTATCTTCCTGACCCAGGGATCAAACTCAGATTTCCCACATTTAAGTCATATTCTTTACCATTTGAGCCACCAGGGAAGCCCCAAAAGACAATACTGTATTCTAAATGATCTTATGGCTCAGTTCAGTTCTGTCGCTCAGTCGTGTCCAACTCTTTGCGACCCCATGGACTGCAGCACACCAGGCCTCCCTGTCCATCACCAACTCCCAGAGTTGACTCAAACTTGTGCCTATTAAGTCAGTGATGCCATCCAACCATCTCATCCTCTGCCATCCCCTTCTCCTCCCACCTTCAATCTTTCCCAGCATCGGGGTCTTTTCAAATGAGTCAGTTCTTTGCATCAGGTGGCCAAAGTATTGGAGTTTCAGCATCAACATCAGTCCTTCCAATGAATATTCAGGACTGATTTCCTTTAGGATGGACTGGTTGGATCTCCTTGCAGTCCAAGGGACTCTTAAGAGTCTTCCTGACCTTATGGCAATTCATGTCAATATCAATTCTCATTTTGAAAAAACAATGAACACTTACTTGACTTGTGTACAGTAGCTGGTCAGTGTTTTACACAGCACAGGTTAGTTTATGTTAAACCTAGCCCTTTATTGGCTGATCATAATAAAATCTAAGACATTCTTTACTTTCTTCAATTGTACCTAATAGAGGTGGGGAGTGAAACTGATAGTAACGTGGATTCTGAATTTGCACGGACTCAGTTTGAAGATCTGGTCCCATCACCAACCTCTGAAAAAGCTTTTCTAGCACAAATCCACGCCCGGAAACCTGGGTACCTTCACGGTGGAGCTACCCCAAGCACCATGCGTGGGGACATGTGAGTATCTTCTGCCTGGGGGTGTTTTTTCAGTAACAGAACACTCTGCAGGGAGCATAGGAAAATAAATACATGGTTGCTTAGTTTTTCATTTTGGAAAGGAATGATGCAGTTTCCTTTTCTGCCAGAAAAGGTAGAAGGGTGTGGATGTGCTAAGTCACTTCAGTCATGTCCGAATCTATGCGACCCTATGGCCTGCAGCCCGCCAGGCTCCTTTGTCCATGGGATTCTCCAGGGAAGAGTACTGGAGTGGGTTGCCATGCCCTCCTCCAGGAGATCTTCCTGTCCCGGGATCAAACCCACGTCTCTTGTGTCTCCTGCATTGGCAGATGGGTTCTTTACCACTAGCGCCCCCTGGGAAGCCCAGGTAGTAGGGTGCTTTGTTTCAATTTCTCATTGTGACTTTTCCTCCTAACAATTTCCAGAGTATCAGTAACCTATTGAGATCCTGGCCTGCCCAAGACACTTAACCAGTTAGATACAAAATAGTGTCAAAAATCACTCCCAGCGTCCCAGGACTCATAGACTAGTTCAGAAGATAAATCATCCTGTCTTCCAAATTTACTAGATTCACTCTTAAGGGCCCCGGTGATACTAGAGAGGCCTCTGTTCAAAGTGAGTGTAAACATCATCTATGCACTTGTGATTTGAATAACTAAATGTATAAAAATCTCATTATAAAGAAGTCCAATTTGCTTGACTTGTTGAATATGTATAAATCTGACCTTCAAAAGACATTTAGCAAAGATTTTCACCCAATTAGGTTTCTGTAGCTTGACAGAAGCCAGTAGAATCAGTGACATTCCCTACTAGACTGTGACCTTGCATCAGCTCAAAGTAGTCAGGCAGAAAAAGTTAAAGCTAAGAAACAAAGGCGAAGCAAGAACAGAACTGCAGAGCCCCGCTTGGGAGGGAAAAGCATAAAATTAAGAAAGTTAAGGAAGTGGAGTTCTGAGAAATACGGACAGGGGCTCACCCAGAAGCTGGAAAAGGGAGTTGATAAGCAGTTTTTTTAAAAGCTACAGAAGGGAGGTGATGCTTAACATGAGAACTGCAGACTAGTCTACAGAAATAAACTGTCTGTTTTAAAGACCCAAAGAAGAAACTAACCAGAGGCCTTTCTGGTGTTTTGACTCCCCATCCAAGGAGTGAGTAAAAAACCAGTAATAACGGGAAATTAAAAATAGACATGGTTTGAAAGCCAGCTGTGAACAGGCAGAGAGCATAATATCAAAACAAAACAGTTATAATTTTATGTGGCAGGAGGCTGCTGCTTTTAATTGTAGTTTGCTTTCTTGTCCTTCCCTCTGTAATTTAGAATTATTTGATTTGTTTGTTATTCAGACTGGTGAACTGTGATCAGTTCAGTCTGGTAAATAACATTAGCTATGTGATTTTTTATAATTGAGCATTTACATGGTGGTGACCTAAAACTTTCTTGATCCAGTTGCAAGATCCAAGACTGTAGCTAAAGCCACCCCATCTACTGTCCCTGGCAGACTGGTGGCAGGACCGACTACCAACAGGGCTGTGGGGGTTGGGAAGGGAAAGTTTACAGAGGCCTTGCAGACCTATTTAGGCTGGCCCCAAACCTCTAAAAATAACAAGAACATGTCGTACAGATATAAATAAACATGAACATTGGCATTTACATTCCAACCCAGAAACTTCTACTTGACCACTCTTTTTCATTTTAGGGGATATTTTAATATCTGTACTATCTAAGCATGTACTGTGTTTTAGCCCAAGAATATTTTAGTCATATGATTTAGGTAGTGAATTTATATTCAGTCCCAGGAAGAACTTTATATATACTTGGATGAATAGATGGAGAGTCACATATTAGTGAATGAGACCATTCTTATCCATTTGTTTCATGGTGGAATTGGGCGATTTAAATGGATTTCTTAAAGTCAGAGATAGTATACATCTTTAAGATCAAGAGCTGTGGGTTAGAATATTAGTCTTCCTGACATTGACTGATATTCTGAGCCTTGATTCTACCATAAAAATACAGCACATGGGTGCATGGGCCTATATACATGCAGAACACAAAGAGGATTAAATTGCGAACAAATATCCTTAGACATTATTTCACTAGAGGGCTCACTTCCCTTATAGAAAATGTTCTTGGACTCCATTTTTTTAAGCCCCCAAATTGGGAAAACGGTATCCTCTCAAAAGATAAGTCTGCCTTTTTTTAAAGAATGACAAACATTTAAAGGGCAACTCATTCCAGCAAACTCTAGGAAAACAGGTGACAAGGGTCACCAGACCACCATAGGAAAACTGCCTATGAGAACACCTTGATCATATATTCCTCCAAACTTCCAAAGCGTCTTTCAAGTTTTTTTCATCATGTCAAAGAAGATCCTGAATTGAAGTAAACTTGAAGCAAAGAAGTGAATTAGAGACAAAATAAATGTGCACCCAGAACTACAGGTAATACAAGAATTCCACTCATATTTGCCTTTTAAGATTTGCTCCAAAATGCCCTCTGTGGTTGACTCCCAGGGTGACAGAAGATGGGGACCCCTACGTGCGGCCAGAGGATGAGAACTATGAAGATGACTCTGTCCGGCAGCTGGAGAACGAGCTGAAGATGGAGGAATACCTGAAACAGAAGCTACAGGACGAAGCCTACCAGGTACCGCGAACCCACCCCACTTCGGCCCCCGCCCCTCGGTGACCGGATCTTTTACATTATTCCAAAACTTGGTGCCTTCTCCTTCCTTCCACCCTCCATTTCTGGAATATTCAGACAGGACTCCTTAGTCCATGAATTCTAAGACAGGGAAAGGTTTAATGCTTCTTAAAGCTGTCACTCACTATGTATTCCTATAAATTCTGAGCTGGAAAATGAAAAGAGGCCTTCCATAGTGATGAATAGTTCATGACCCTCCAAGATCATTAGGAAAAAACTTTTTAAGAAAAGATACAGTTGGCTCTCCGTATCAGCAGATTCAGAATCTGTGGATACTGAGGTTCAACTGAAAGGGACTTTGAGTATCCATGGATGGGGGATCCATCTGTGGGATAGGGGTATCCTGGTACCAGTCCCCCATGAATACTCTGGGATTCTATGCCCTTGGATGGGCCACAGGGTACAATGAAATTGACTAAGTATACCTCTGTCCTTGAATCACTTGTATCAACTTCCCTCCCTGCCTGCCTCATATCAAATGTTAAGAAGTCAAAGAGTGACAAACCTCAGCTAGAAATGTTGGGGGAACTGTAGGCCCCCACTCAACAGGGTGTGGTTGGACAGATTGTCATATATCCTGGATAGCATGTTAATCCATCTGAGAATTCACCTGATATAACACGTGCAATGGAAAATAATATTATCCTTACAGGGATGCATTTTCCCCATGGAGATTTTTCTACTGCCCTGTTTATTTACCTTGTATGTTTCCCTTCCCTGTGCCTTGCTGGAGTTCTGGGAGGACAGGGGTTTGGATGGTTGAGACCTACTGCCCCGCCCCAGGCCCCAGTGGGTTATTTTACCGGGTCAGGCTTTCTGTCCAATATCCAGATAAGTTTTTTCCACCATCTTAGGAGCAGTAGCTCTCCCTTACTCTGTTATTGGAAGAAAGAAAAGCAGATAAAATAAGTTTTCTACTCCTCATACATCTGTAGATTGCTTGGAAATATTTTCCTAAGAAGAATAAAGCAAAAGGGAAGTCTACCAACCCCACCTTGACAATATAAAATGGAAGTTTTGCCTATTTGGAATGTTCCAAAACAGTTGTGTTTCAGAATAACTCCAATGTAGGCCTAGGTAAACAAACAGTGACCAGATATGTAAAACTGTACTTGAATCCTGCATAATCAGACTTGCCTCGAGTGCACGCCAGGGAGGACGTTTTTCTTCACAACTTCTATGGCCTGTCCACAGGAGGAAATTAGTCTGCATAAAGCCCCTGGGTGTCTCTGGGAACTCTGAGAGGTGGCATTCCTACATATATCTACTTTTGGCCCTGCTGTGCAGAAGGAGAGAGAGAGGTGGTTAAATAATCAATATTCTGGTTCATGCTGTTAGAGGCACCTATTAGACCTCCCTCTGGGAATCCACATTAGTTTCTGGATTTTGGTGACAACTGTAACTGAAATTCTGATTTTTTTTTTTTAAAAGAAAGAGTCATTTCATAGAAGGTATTAAATTTTTATTTATTTCAGTGAACTAGAGGTTTAACCTGATACAAGCAAAATGAAAGGAAATTCTATTAACAGCATCAGCTTCCATTGGAGTTCCTGCCATCTCTGGTAGATTTTAAGCTCCTTCTTTATCCTTTCTTCTCTCTTCTTCTCTCTTTTCCTCACCACAACCAGTGACTTCAAAGAAAAGACCAAGAAAAGGGTGAAGAGATTGTAACAGGTCCATGTGTTATATGTCCTGGAGAAGGTTGAAGTGGTTTTTCCTTGACTGCTCTATGAGTTGTTGGATGGGTCAGAAGGTTACTTTCATTCCCTGGATTCTCTCTGTCTGTCTACCTATCTTTCTGCATGGCTTCCAACCAAATAATTCACCAGCTTGACCGCATCACAGACTTTACATGTCACCTTTCTTGTTTGTGTCCTTTGTCACCCGCAGGTCAGCTTGCAAGGTTGAATGCAATATCCTTTTATCACTCTCCTCTCAAGTAAGTATCCACTTATTTAGGAGGAAATGTGGTCACTGTAAAGTGGATTCTGATCACTTGTAACTTACATGCACAATCACTGTCTCTTAGGTTTTTTCTATGGTAAACTATCCTCTTTCCCTGCTGATAGCAAAGAATCATCCTGGGCCGTGAAACATATCATTCTAGTCCAGTGGTGATTTAGCAGACAACCTTGGGAGTTCACTTTTTACTCTTTGAATTAGGAAAACTGGCAGAGGAATTTCTATAACCCAAAGATGCCCCAGAAATGTCCGGCTATAAAGCCAATTTGCTGATCCATAGCTGCATCCAAGTTTTCAATCTCTCTGGCACTTGAGAGAGAAAAATTCAAGCTTGCTCAGCACTTGCAGAAATGAGTCAGCTCCTTAGTCCTGTTATACTTAGGGCCCAAAAGATCAAAGTGTGTGCCTTAACCAGTGAAATCAAGAACATTAATTACTAAAGAAAACAAAAAGCATAGAGGGAAGCTTTCACAGCCTCATGTTTTTGGAACAGCTAATTCACACCCATCATGGAATTCAGCAAGATATAAATTAATTTAAAATACCTTTCCTGTGGCTTGTGATCCCCCACCTTAAGAGATTTACCTAAATACATGGGAAATTCTCAGTAGTTTTGTTTTTTGCTTTTTTTTAATTTAAAGGGACTAGCATTTGATTGGCAAGGACCACTTGACTATAGTGGTCTGAAGCTTAGGGTCTAGACTCTAACAGACTGATTTCAAAAATGAGTTCCATCAAATCCTAGCAGCATAATCTTTGAAAAATTGCTTAGACCTCTATGAGCCTTTGTTTCCACTGTACAACATGTATCATAATACCTACCTCATAGAGGAGGTGTACTCCCTGGGATACACCGAGTTACAGCTTAACTGATGGCGGACACACTATCGTTTCATTTTGAGCACACACATACATGCCTAGCCCTGTGCTCAGTGCTTTACAAGCAGCTCAGTCCCTGGGAGTGACAATAATTATTATGTGAGTGTATGAGAACCCCCAAGACTCAGAACTAGCTTGCTCTCTCTACTTATGTGAATAAGGTTGGGATTTGGCTTTGTGCTACGATTTGACACACCTTCAGCTACACTGTCCCATGAGTCTGATGGTTTCTCTGGCTCCAGCTTATGGCCATTTAGATGTCCCACATTACAGTTCAAAGCTAATACACCTCTCACGGTCATGACTGCAGAAGACCAAGGGCTTGTATTTTTAGTTCTTCAATCTATTCCCACCCATGGAATCTCGTAAATCTTAAGTGCAGTTGAGGGGAAACTCAACCCTGGCTGCTAAGTTGAAAAAGGAATATATGTCTTCTAAATGATATATCAATTAGTAATGAATACATTCTAGCTGAAACACTGCTGACCTCCTGTCTTTGTCCTCAGGTTAAGATGAAGCAAGTAAAAATCAAGGTGTAATTGTTATGAAATATATTTTTTGAGCTGTGAGGCCCTTTTGGTATAAAAGGAAGGATCTTATTGAGTACATTTTAGTCTGTCTCCCTTGGACTTGAGACTACTACTCCACGAGTTCTCTTGATCACTCCTGTTACTTTCCCAGAGGAGCAAGACGTTTCCTTTCATAGCATTTTCTTTCTCTGAACTCTAGCAATTTGATCATTTTTGTTATGCACATTATTTAAACATCAGTAGGTAGTTCTTATAAAAATATACTTCTTTAAAAACCCTAATAAAATGCCTTTGACATTTTTTATTTAGTTACTAAGTCAGGTCCAATTCTTTTGCCACCCATGGACTGTAGCCTGCCAGGCTCCTCTGTCCATGCGATTTCTCAGGCAAGAATACTGGAGTGGGTTGTCGTTTCCTTCTCCAGGGGGTCTTCTCAACCCTGGGATCAAACCTGTGTCTCCCATGTTGGCAGGTGGATTCTTTACTACTGAGCCACAATGGGAGCCCCAGCCCTGGACATAAACCAAGATAAAAAGCAGTATTTGGTTCTTGTCCATAAACGCCAAAGATTTTAATCTTCAAATTTTATTTCCAATAAAACTTAAAACAGTTGTGACCTCTGCTACTGACTGCATCCTTACTTACCTAGCTGGCCTTCCACAGGATTCTAAATATAAACCAGCCTGTCACCAAATCACCAAGTCAGACAAAGTTAATTTAAGATCTGATGGAGCACTGCAGGAACTAGTAGCTTTTTATCCTTGCAGCTAGTTCTGCTGCTGCTGTTGCTGCTAAGTCACTTCAGTCGTGTCCGACTCTGTGCGACCCCATAGACGGCAGCCCACCAGGCTCCCCAGTCCCTGGGATTCTCCAGGCAAGAACACTGGAGTGGGTTACCCTACTGTAATTTTTCTTTATGAAACCAAGAAAGACAGCTGAGATTGTAGAACAGTTATCTGTTGAAATCTATTCACTGGCTATACTGCAAGACTGGAAATTATCCCAAAATATATGCATCTCTTCTGCAAGGGTCCTAAAGTTGATTTAATCAGCTCAAAGTCAATTAGGCATCCACGAAGCAGAGCCCTACGTAACTAAGGGGCAAAAGGTGCAACACCAGAGACATGGAAGACCCATCCTCTGCTCAAGAAAATCCTTAGGCCTCTTTGAAGATAAATATGCACTTACCAACACATTAACAAGAGCTAATGGAGAGAAACCGGTTTTATTGCTTTTCAGCTAGCCACATGGGAAGAAACGGTACACATAAAGCTTAGCACCCAAATTAGAGTCCACCGTGGTTCCACTTTGGCCCACTCAAATCTTAGGTTGGTCCCTTTTCCATCCCTCTGGCCACATGGCCACATGGCCACTCACCTTGGCCAGCCACATCCTAACCTCAGAAATTGGAGGATGGAAGATCACAGGTGGATTTTTTTTTTTAATTAGCATGGCCAAAAGACCCCACAAAATTAGCATGGTATTCTGATGGTGAGTCAGTGCTTTCATGTCCTTGTCCAAAGGACAACACAGATATTTCTGTTTATGTTGCTTGAACCTTCCAGATGCCTTAGGTGCCCACTAGGCAAGAGTCTCAGCATGGAGGATTCTTGTCCTCTCTTCTACCAGAAGGTGCAATAGCCCAGTGGCCCAAGACATTCATTGCTGATTGTCAGAGGAAGAAAGGAGTCTGTGTGTGTGTGTACGTATGTTTCGGGGTGGGGGAAAGGGAGGATTCTAAGCTTCATAACTCTAATTTAGAGAACAGTTTCCATCTTTAAAAAAAAAATCACACATTGCTTATTCCCAGGCAAGCTATAGTCAGACAGATGCAAGTAACAGGAGAGCTGGTGATGAAGGACACAGCTGCACCCCCAGAGGAGAAGACGGCAGCCTGGCAGCAGCCTCAGCTCAAGGAACAGAGGACCCACCACATGCAGCCGCTCCCGACAGACCCCCGCCCCCTAAAGACTGTGTTCTGCCGACTATAGTGCAGCTAACTTTTTGTTCTAAGTTTTGTAGTTCATAGACGTGTGTTTTGAGAAGGAAAAAAAGAATAATAAGACTTCTGTTCAAAGCTAACTTATCAGCTACATCTTCTGTAACATGGCTCATCCCTCGAAATGAAAACACAGGCTGAAATCCCACGCTGCTGTTACTCGCAATGGCAGTATTAACAAGCATCTTACCTTTGCACATGATATTGAACCTGGTCAGTTTACAACGACATTACTAATACTGTTTATAGCTAGGAGTTTCATTTCTGAATTCTCTGAGATTTTAGCAAAACAGTTGATTATATACACTGTACATTTTTTTTCCACAGCAACTGGAAAAAAAAGCAACCACTTGCAGTTATTCACTGAGCCTGAAGGATTTGGTTCCCGAGGGTACAGACTCAGAGCCCCAAAGCCAAGAAGGGTCCTTGGCCTGCATGGTCTGCACTTGTCTCCAAGTCTCTGAGAGCAGAGGCTTGAACCAAACCCACCAAGAGAATCCAATCTCTGCGGCTTCTTTCCAACTTGGGGTTGTTTTCTTTCAAGATACTCTTAACCTATCAGCCATAGAATTTAGTGTAAATATTTTTTTTTTCCAAATAGAGATCATATTCCAAAAAAAAAAAAAAAAGGCAACATTCAAATTATATAGAATCTAGTTTTTAAAATCAGCACAGCTCTTCTTAAAAACTGTGAACTCTGTTTTGAAATACTCGTTACTAAAGCTGTTTATAAACCACAGGTGCCATAAGATCCCCCCAATGGACTCAAGTTATCTCTGCTCTTCCACGGCTGGTTCCTTTCGGTTTAGCTTTAGGGAGCATGTTTCTAACAGCACCGCTCATCCACCAATTCCCCTATCAGGTCGTTTGGAGGCCTTTCAGCTTTAAATGTACAGGCTTAAAGTGCGCTTGCAAACGTTCGCTCTCCTTTTCTTTCTGAATGTGTTTTGCCTTAGCTGGCTACCTGGTGTTCTGCATGCAGCCTCCTGTGGTCACGTAAGAGGAAACAGGCTTTCCTAAGTGGAGCTGGGATTTTGCACTCCATGAAAAGCTGATGTGCAAAAGAATGGTCAAGGAAGGGAGAATGAATGACTCTGTTGATGGTCCTTTCTGAGGGCCCTTTTTGGGGAGCACCAAAGACCTCCCTTAGGGATTCTGGGGAAATGAAAAAAATAATCTTCTACTTGTTTCAAGATTTGATGAAATAAAAATCCTGCAATATAGTAGATACATTATCCTTTAATTGGCAGCTTCTCTGAATTCCTGTTTCTCCTTTAAAAGAAAGAAGAGAACATCATTCTAGAACAGTGGTTCTTGAAATGCCGTCTCTGGACCAGCAGCGCCAGCATCACCTGGGGAATTTATTAGAAATGCAGATTCTTAGGCCCTAACCCCAGCCCTACTGAATCAGAAATTCTGGGGTTGGGGCCCCGTCATCTGTGTTTGAACCTTCCAAGTGATTCTGATGCATGCTGAAGCTGAAGAACCACTGCTTTAGAAGAAAGTTGCGTAATAAAATCTCTGAAAAAGCCTTACTCAGAATAAGCAAGAAAGGTTCTAAGTCATCCTCAAAGTTTGAGCGATTCGATTTTGCTTCCAGGGTTGGCAGAAGACTTCTCCCACCCCACAGAGTCAATAGTTGGTGGGTGCCCCGCTGAGAAGTGACATCCCAACTTCTTCCTTCTTCCTTCCCAGAGGGTTCTCAGATGCTCCCATCTCTGTGTTGGGTCAGACACCACCTCCTTGACTGCCCTCAGGAACAAAATCGCTTGCCTTGGGGTTAGTAAAGCTCTCTGTTAGCATTAGCAAGGAGCACATTCTGCCCCTTGATGTACTTAATCATTTTTCCCTGGAGAGCCAGCCTGACAAATGTCCCTGAGAACAGGCTGACACCAAAGGGACACAACTGCACAGTTCTCAGATTTCTTTGCACAGAGGGATGTTATTGCAGGTTTTGTTAGTGTATCTTAATGTTCATCTCCTTCCCTCTGCCCATCCTCTGTGAACCCATACCTCTCTAGATGGAGCAGGTGGCCACTGGTGCCTCATACTCAGTACTTAAAACCACTACATCCCAGCTACCTACATGGCTGTTGGCTCTGAATCATAGCTGGGCAGTTCTCAGTCTCAGCACCCTGACCCTGCAGGTGGCATTCAGCCACTACCTGGACCGAGCTGACAGATGTTATCATTTTGTGTTTCTGCATCATGTTTGTCTAAGGTTTGGACTGTTCTGTGGGTAACCTTCCCGCATCATAGTGTTCATTGCCAATTCCATCACAGGGTTGTCGATCCCATTGTACGAAGTCATTGCAAGGACTCTGGAAACTGCTGCCAATGACCAATTCCTGACTAACCAGCCACCTTTTCTTTCTCTTAGCTCCACGTCAGCCCTGAGACCAGACTCAAGCACCCCTGTCCTGTAAACGAGACAAAATGGCGTGCGTTATTTTGGGTTTTCGTGTTTTTGGGCGGGTTTCTTTCCTTGGCTCTCCAAATCTACTTTTGGGGCCTGTTCTAAGTGCAAACCCAGCAGGTGTCACCTGTCCTGTCCATTAGGTACAGTTCTGTCTGGCGAGGATTGTTTCTTTCTTGTTCCACGATGAATTGCACATCCATCTCCATTAGAGGTGATGCCCTATTAATGAGCACTGGTCTAACACAGCCAACCCTCCCCCACGGCGCCATGTGAATGGAGGGAGGGAGGAGGGTGAAATCTACTGTAGGGGATTCAGGAATCAGTTGTGGTTGGTCAGGACGGAAGTCGGGGTAAATGTGGTTGGTCAGAGGGAGATGTGCTGGAGATTGTGAAAAATGGATTCTCGAGTGATCTACTCTAAGACAGGGAAGGTTCATTTGTAAGTAGTAATGTGAACTGAACTACATAAGAGTGTGGCCTTTGTTGTGATATACTATGTATTTTCTTATATGCATGAGCCAAACTGTTGCATCATAATTTAGCACTGATGTCTGCTTTTATTTTGATCATCTTTATCCACCCTTATTAGTTCTTGGCTGTTAACTGTAGGTAGACGTTGTAAATCCAGCAGCCTTTGGTTGCTGCAGTCACCTTGGTTCGATTCCGCACAAACAACTACACCATGTCCTCAAAAGAAAGGGCATTTTTACCTTTGAACCAAAAAGAGGGAAAAAAAAAATCAGAGGTATCACATCCTGAGGCTAATTAACTCTAAGACATTTTTAATTATGACTACTGTAATTTGATGCCATTTGAAGTAACCGATTCAGAGACACTAAAGATTTCACAACATTCATGGGTATGTAACAAAACTACTATTGTATGGGTTTTTTGTATTGCTGTTAAGTATTGTTTTGTGTGTATGTGTGTGTGTTGGAACCTCCTGGGGACATGTTATATTTTGAAGTGATTAAACTATTTAATTGTGTGTCTATATTTTGGAATGGAATTATTTCTTCATTAAAAAATGTTTTTAAAAACACTATTATCTTGCGTATTTTGTTATTTTGTTTCAATGAATGTTTCCTAAAACAACATGAGGTTAGTCTAAGAAAGACAAGTCAGTGTTTGGAGCATGAAGCTTGGACTGCTGATTGAGGATCAAGCAACTGAGGTCAAATATTTCACCTTTTCCTGCCTTTGAGGATGCAGTTTTTTTAAAAATGAGATACTATTCTGCTGCTCATGGAAAGCCTTGTTGTGATTAAGATCAAAAATCCATACTCCCTCTCCTTTTTTCTCTTCTTCTTCTTTCTTTTCTTTCCCAAATTCCAAATGTTGGGAAAAAATAACATTTGTGTAATCCTTTACAACTTCCAAAAACCCTGTTTCATTTACATTTGATCCTCACACTATCCATTTGAGGAGTACTTAGTCATCCAGATGTATAACTTACGGTGCTGCCTTTGTTCTGAAAAAATCTGCAGACCAGGCTGAGATGAGTAGACTAGGCATGCCATCAAACAAGAAACAGAGGGAAAAACACAGAAATTTCCCACTTCTGAGAAGATGGTGCACTTTTCGGAGGAGTCTCAGGAGTTAGGCTTCTCCCTCTATGCAGGGCTATGGAGACTTCACCTCACTCCCAGTAGATCTTGCATCAGCCGAGACCAAGATTCATCCAAGGAGTTGCGCTCTCAGTTCCTTAGCGCTGGTTTAATTTCTACTGCTGTCTTCCGGTTGCCCTAGCAACACATATTAAACTTTGCAAATTATGTGTTCTAAATATTATCCAAGCAAGTAAAGAAAAACTGGGAGGCACTGGAAAGATGAAAAAGAGATTTTTCAGAATCAATTTTTTTATTCCTAAGATGTCAGATCCTGACGCAAGACTGTGATGTACACCAAGAATCCCCATCGCCCAAAACATTTCCCTAAGATTTCATTGGCATAGTCAGGAGCAGTGGGGCAGGTCTGGTTGCAAACATTGGAGAAGCTTGGGGCAAGAACTTTTTCCCTGTTTCATAGCCAACTTGGGAACAATGATCCTCTGAAATACAAAATCCTTTATAGTCTTTTTTTAAAATGCTGCTTTGAGGGGAGGTTAGTATGAGAAAAGAGTAATATTTCCCCCTATTGCAAAGAGATCCAAGAAGCTTCTTTGATGAAGAAGGGCTCAAATATTTTAGCAGGATAATAGGAAGAGTATAATTTTACTAAAAAACCTAAACCAAGGCTGATACAATACTGAAAACTCCTTGTAAAATACAACTTAACTTCCTAGTTCTCACTATTCACTACAAATAACCATACTTGTTCTACAGCAAAGACATTTTTCAAGCCATTGTGAGGGTCTCTGTACTATGAACATTAGTGGTATAAAGGACAGTCTTCAGTTTTTTTTTCCTAAAAAACTACAAAGTCAGGAGGTGGGGAAGAGGGAACCCTTGTACACTGCTGGTGGGCATATAAATTGGTGCAGCCACTATGGGAAACAAGATGGAGTTTCCTTTAAAAACTAAAAATAGAGCTTTCATATGACTCACCAATTCCACTCCTGGACATATATTTTTTAAATTAATTTAAGAAGATGCATACACCCCAAGGTTCACAGCAGTATTATTTACAACTGCCAAGATATGTAAGCAACCAGAGTGTCTATCAACAGATGAACTGATAAAGAAGATGTGTAAATGGATAAGGAAGTTGTGCTACATATACATGACAAACTATTACTCATTACTCAACTATAAAAAAGAACACATTCTAAGTCAGTTCTAATGAGGTGGATGAAACTGGAGCCTAGTATACAGAGTGAAGTAAGTCAGAAAGAGAAACACCAATACAGTATATTAACACATATACACAGAACTTAGACAGACGGTAACGACGACTCTATATACAAGGCAGCAAAAGAGACACAGGTGCAAAGAGCAGGTTCTTGGACTCCGTGGGAGAAGGCGAGGGTAGGATGATTTGAGAGAACAGCATTGAAACATGTATATTACCACATGTAAAACAGATGACCAGTGCAAGTTCGATGCATGAAGCAGGGCATGCAAAGCTGGTGCTCTGGGACAACCCAGAGGGATGGGGTTGGGGAGGGAGGTGGGAGGGGGGTTTAGGATGGGGGGGACACATGTGCACTCATGGCCGATTCATGTCGATGTATGGCAAAAGCCACCACAAGATTGTAAAGTAATTATCCTCCAATTAAACTAACTTTTTTAAAAAAGAAGATGTGGTGTATATATATATACAATGGAATACTACTAAGCCATAAAAAGAATGAAATTTTGCCATTTGTGCAACGTAGATGGAGGGCATTATACTAAGAGAGACAAGGCAAAGACAAATACTATACAATATTGCTTACATGTAGAATCTAAAAAGCACAACAAACTAGTCCATATAACAAAAAGGAAGCAGCTCACATATATAGAAAACAAACTAGTGGTTACCAGTGGGGAGGAGGGCTTGCAATATGAGGGTGGGAGAATGATAGGTACAAACTACTAGGAGTAAAATAGGCTACAAGATTTCACTATACAACACAGGGAATATAGCTTATGTTTTGTTATAATGTAAATGGAGTATAACGTATAAAAATTTTTTAAGCATGCAGTTGTTTTTCGTATTACTACTTAGCATAAAGCTAAGTTGCAATCTGTGATGGTGAGAAGTGTAAAACTAACAGAATTTATTCTAACACTATAGCCTCTTCCTAGCCTGGCCTGATAAAAGGATTAAGATTTGTATTGGGTTAGCTGAACAAATTTTTTATGGAAGAACTGAAACAAACTTCTTGGCCAGTCCAACTTAATTGCTTGGCTATTCATCTTTCCCGATTCTACAGTGGTGGTGAGCTAAGTCTGCACTAGTATGGAACATCACTGAACCCAATGCTGAGCCAAAAGTACAGTAGTTGGGCAATAAATACAGAAGATATTTAAAAATAAGGAAGACACACCATTCCTCAGGCTACTCTCCTAATTGTCTGTAGTCACAGCCAGGATTTTTAATGGACGCATTGGAAGAGATGAAATTGATCTGGAATAGACTCTGGTAAGCACCGGAAGTAGGACATTGAGGGGGCCGGGCTTGTGCTCCAAAGCCAGGTGGTTGTGATGCTCGATTCTGAGAAGTGGAGACACTGATATGTATTCCAACCTCCCAGTTTCAAAAAGACCTGATAACAGAGCCAGGAGTCCTCTCAGAAAGTGAGTCAGCAGTTTGCCTGAGACTGACCCAGTTTTGCCCTGAAAGCCTAGATCCTGAGAAATGCTTCAGTCCAGGTCAAAGGGAGGAACCGGTCTCCCAAGAAAACAAGTAAAGAAGCCACTCATGCATCAGGCAGCAACAAGGCCCCATGAATTCCGCATCATAAAGCAAGTAAGATATTCTCCTACTGTGGGACATTGAGAAAGCAAAAAAGGCTTATCTACCATGAATGTACCTTCCTAATTGAAAGTAAAGGTCGCTCAGTCCTGTCCAACTCTTTGGGACCCCATGGACTGTGAATTCTTCAGGCCAGGATACTGGAGTGGGTAGCCTTTCCCTTCTCCAGCGGATCTTCCCAACCCAGGAATCGAACCAGGGTCTCCTACATTGTAGGCGGATTCTTTACCAACTGAGCTATGAGGGAAGCCCCATTCTAATCAAAAGTTTCATGTTTAGGAGGAAGCTTCTGATGCCCCACCAGGATAATGTTAGCTGCAGAATTCACTACAGTGAGAACACCCATGGGTTTGTTCACCTTGGGGATTTCTGAAATGAGATGACCTATAGATAAGACTTGTTCAAACATCCAGATGCTAAGGAGAGTCTGCAAAAATCAAGTTGAATTTGGGCAAAACTGACCGTGAACTTCTTTTTTTTTTTAAGAAGTGATTGACTCTTTTTTGTTGTTGTTGTGTAGTTGCTAAGTTGTCCAGCTCTTAACGACCATGGGTTTTGACCAGGCCTTTAACTTGACCTCCCGTTTCTTTGAAGAGAGGGTATTTTTCAGCTCATCTAAAAGCAGAATCAAATTCTTTAGACATGAGTTCAGAGAGAGGGGCCTAAGGCAGTTCTGTTTTCACCATTTCTTTGTTCTATCCCTTCTCTCCACTGAGATGTGAGTGTTGGAACAGACTCTGGAAATAAGCATATAAGGTTGGGCTGTACAGAGAAAACCTACAATCTGCCTCTTAGAGATTTTTCTATTTATTGAATCAGGTACAAGCTATAAAATCTTCTGTTCTCAACTTAAGAAGCAGTACCTCATACATATAACTGAATCATCCAGAAGCTATCACAACATTGTAAATCAACTATATTTCAATTTAAATAATAATAAATAATAAAAAGTACCACCTCAATATTTCTAGAATAGCTATGAACATGGACCAGGAATTATATATCATTTTGCAAGTTGCCTGCCTGCTAAGTCTCTTCAGTCGTGGCCGACTCTTTGCAACCCATGGACTGTAGCCCACCAGGCCCTCTGTCCATGGGATTCTCCAGGCAAGAATACTGGAGTGGGTTGCATGCCCTCCTCCAGAGGATCTTCCCAACCCAGGGATTGAACCTGAGTCTCTTATGTCTCCTTCATTGGCAAGCAGGTTCTTTACCACTAGCACCACCTAGGAAGCTCTGTGTATCATTATAGAATGATCCTAGCCTACAATTTCTGGAAGAAATTAGTTATAACATATACTCTTTTTAGCCGTCTAAATATATGAAGTTTTGAAATGTATAATAAGCAATTTCTGATGACCCAGAAAAACTTGCGAACATACCACAAAGTACAAGAAAAGCCCCACGATTTCCTGCATGAGATGCATCAGCAGTTACCTCAAATTCACCTCTGACTGAACTTCCATCCTCACGAGTAGTCGATTACTCATTCAGTTCAGTAGCAACTGCCAATAAAGAAATTTTGGACTGTTAGACTTACACAAGTATAAATCAGTCTCACATCAGTTTTACTTAGCTTTATGTACAAATTGTATTCTTTGAATGCAAAAAAATACTAAACATCTTGATACTTTTGTATCAGTGGAG